TTAAATTCATTTAATTATATACTTAAAAATGGTGATTTTATTTCATGTAAATTACAGATCAATTAAATTTACTTAAAATTTTTAAATAAAGAGAACAAGCCCCTCACCAAAGCAAACAAAACAGAAAACTAACTCCAATAACCAGATTAAGGAAAAACACTTTAATATTTTTAAAAGAAGAAAGTCTTCAGTGCCTCATTTGTGATTCTGAAGGTTCTTGTGGTACATTAAGTGTGTGTTTTTGTAGATACATGGTATTGTGTAACTTTGAAGTAACACTGAGCATCACCATGACTGTTTAGCATACACTTAGCAAACTGACAGGCATGGAAACTGCATTTCCAAATGTGATAAACCCTTCTGTTTGTTCAAAACAGTTTACCCTCTCATTTGGCAATGTATCCAGATGGACATTTTCAAGAAACCTTAATATCAATTTTAAGTAGGTGTTGGAATAACTGTGTTTATTTATTTTATTGTTAAGAGATATGTGACTTGTGTGGTTACGTTTCCCTATTTATGTTGGCTGTCAGAAAGCTGACAGTCCCATCTGTGGCCCACTTCCAGCAAAAATAACATGCTTCTTGGGTAGTAATCTCATGCCTGGTTTCTTACTTTTTGATCCTAAATTATTTTCCTCCTGATTTTCTTTCTTAATCATTTTTTCAGCAACTGTTATATATTATTTTAAAACACACATTTTAATACTGTACCTATATGTAAATGATGTAGTATAGATGAGGCATATGTAACAATACTTTGGATCTTTTGTGTGTGTTAGTAAATAATTGTTAATAAAGCTTATTCCTTTCTTCCCCAAGATTTAATGTTTTATTTTTTTTAAAAAGGTAGATGGACAAAAAGTCAAAAAACATATTTAAGAGGAAAAAATAACTTTTTCATGGAACCTAATCCAACAGCTGACTGATATAATGAAAGGTTAGTCATGTCATGTGCCTGTCACACATGATTCGTTTGTCTTTGGTTGGCATATTTATGTCCCTGTTCTTCATTTTAAAAGCTTCTTACATAGTCCCTAATATATTCCTTAACCCTAAATTCAAAATAATCTGCCTATGTGAGGACACATAAACTAAAAAATTTCTAAATCCTTTATAAATCTTTTGGATATTTTAAATTAAATGCAGAGGGTCATTTTATTATATTAAAAAAGAATAAAATAACAAAATGAAGAAAATATTTTCAACAAATATCCCTAATAAAAAGGAACTCCTGAGAATTTATCTTAAGGAAATAATTAAAAAGAAAGGAAAAATATAGGTACTAATTTATTCATTCGACACTATAATATTAAAAATGGAAATGATATAGTATCCATTAATAAAACAACCTAGTAAACTATACTATATTATGAAATCATTAATTATTATAAGGATTTCATTAATAGGTGATTTAAAGTAAAAAACAGAATAAGGATTTTTTTTTTTATTATTACTAGAGGCCCAGTGCACCAATATGTGCACTGGTGGGATTTCTTGGACTGGCCTGTGGAGATCCGGCCAAAACTGGCTCTCCAACATCTCCAAAGGGGTTCCGGATTTCGAGAGTGTGATTCTCCAGTGATGTACTCCAGAATTGGGCTCCCTCCTCTCTGGTTCCAGGTGTGTCACCCAAGGACCGCCACTGCCAAGTGACCACAGCTTGGTAGCTCCTGCATTGAGTGTTTTCCCCCTGGTGGTCAGTGTGTGTCATAGCTACTGGCCAGTCAGCTGGTTGGTCAGTCAGCTTAGGTTTTTATATATAGATTTCAGTAAAAGTCTTATATAATCAAACAAAGAACAAAAGGAAACATGACAAAATAGACATTAATATGTTTGGATAGGGAATTATGAATTTTGCTTTTTAAAAATATATACTTTATATCTTTTAAAATCGTTATAAGATGGCTAATATGGTGTTTTAAAAATATAAATGTAAATGTAACCTGCCCCATCTCCACCCCTGAACCTTTGCCCCAGGTTCTACATATAATCCTGGTGGCTCTGTCTTGGACCTAATCTGCCAGCCAGGCACTTAAAGTCCCAGGGTCACGTTAAGGAGGTTCCACAGAACCAGGGAGCTCCTATAGTTGACAGGCTGATATAATTAGTCAACACTTTTGGCTAGGGTTTCCCAAATGTTTGCAACGAAGGCCATGCTCTTCTGATGAGGCAATGACCAACTGATAGCAATGACTTCGAGAATAATCTCTATTTGTTGGTGTCAGAAAAAAAAAAAAAAAAGAAAGAAAAAGAAAAGGAAGGAAAGAAAAAGAAAAAGAAGGAAAGAAGGAAGGAAGGAAGGAAGGAAGGAAGGAAGGAAGGAAGGAAGGAAGGAAGGAAGGAAGGAAGGAAAGAAGGAAAGAAGGAAGATTAACTTTAAAATGAGAAGAGTTCAGGGGGAAAAAAACAATCCAGACTCTTGCGATTAAACAGTGAGCTCTGAACTGACAGTTAAGACCCAGGAAAGGAAATTCAAAGGTCAGGGTGGTTTGTTTCCAAAGAAACTACATGTGTTTCCACAATAAAAAGGCTAAAGGGCACTGTTTCACACACTATAAATCAGAACCACAAAAGTTGGCCTCATATAAGATCACAAAAACCAGTTCTGCAGTAATCTCATCTTTTCTGAAATTCTTTAAGTCACTCTATAAGTCTGTATCCTTGCTCCTCAACTTCCAAGGCTACAAATAAGTTCTTGCTTTCCTTACCCACCCCATTCAAATCCTGCTCAGGCAAGAATCTAATAGACTTACTCAGAGTAAAATGATTGATGACCCTCCAGGTGGTTGGTTGCCTTCCTAGAGGGCACTTGGATTTTGTCAGGAAATGTAGTGGATGCTGCCAGCATCCCATGCTTGGCCTAACTGTCCATTCTCCACTTCAGGATATCCTGTCAACCAAGTCGTCCCCCATTCCTCCACTTCACAGTGGGTATGTGACCCAGGCTGGACACAATGCCTGTGGGCACGTGACCAAGCAAGGTGTGCCAGTTCTGAGGTCCTTTCCTCTCCCTCCCCATTCTGTGCTACATATCACAAGGGAATGAGCCCCCCGGGCTCCTAGCTCAGCAGGCTTCTGGCTGGCTACAGCTGGCAGGAGACACTGATGGGAGGTTGCAAGGTAGAAGGATGGAGATCCTAACAGCCAATTGCCACCCATATCTGCCCAATTTGAGAATAAAGCCAAACACAGAAGCACAGAGAGCCATAAGATGGGGAGATAAAAAGAATCTTGACACATTCTTTGAATTCCTTGTGTTTGAACTCTAAATAAGTTAACATTATCATATATATTTATGCCTTAAACCAGGACACTTTCGAGAGTAAAAGGGGCTGCTGGTAATACCTACGTCAGGACAACAGACACAAATTGAGACTGGTCCAGGCAAACCAGAACCCTACCTAAAACCAACCTGGCCTTTAGACTTTACAATTAATTGAGCCATTACATTCTCTTTGACCCTTAACCTAATTTGAGTTGGATCTCTATTACTAAACAAAAAAGATCCTTTTAAATAGAATTGTTGTCTCATGGTTATATTTCAGGGCAGATACATTAATGTCTGTCTGACTTAGCCTCCATAGTATGCAAGTGGGGCTTACAAGTTTATGGTATAGCTATTCCAGGAATGTTATAAGGAATTCTGGTTGCTATATACCAAGAATGCTGAAAAAGTGCGAAGAAAACTAAAACCGCCAAAGGAATACATATACTCTACCCTCAGAGTAAATGTGGCTCTTTGGTGCTTTTTTTTTTCTTTCCATATTTAAAATGGCCCTTACTTAAGATTTAATTTTATCTGAATATATATTTTGGGAAATAGAGTAGGTCAACCACATCTTATAATTTTCCCTGTGTCCAGCCCCTACCTAGGCGTAGCACCATAACACCACAAAAACACTGATCTCTGGGAACTGCTTTTCTTCTTTATTCTTTTCCCTTTACCTTTCTGCATTACCCTATAAGGTCTCAATAATTCTACAGGTGAAACAGGTTCTTGTTGTCTTGTCTAGGAACACAACTGTCATTTAAAATCATTTCTATAAAAACACACACCTACTTTAATGGGTTGTGAAAAGAGCATGCCACAGCTCACCTGACATGTTAGTGCCTTAATTTAGTGTGCTCACAGCAGCTGCCTAGTTCTTGGCAAAATAGTAATTCAAAGACTGTCTCTCCTAATTCCAGTGGGAGTACCCCCCAACCCAGTGGAGGTCATTTTTTTATTATTATTATTTAGGAAGTCATTCATAGTTCAAGTATTTAAAATTTCATGAGCAATTAGTTAGATCTTTCAAAAGCCACAGGGGTGACTGTGACTAATGTTTTCACTTTGTGAGGCTCTGTGTCATTTCATCAATAAAAAGGCAGATATATTAAGAAGTGGGAAGAAATATCCAGAGGTGTTAGTAACCAGCTATTTCTATTTCTCCCCGCCCATTTCTCATAGATCCAACTTCTGAGTCATAAAACGTGATTTAAAAAAAAAAAAATTCCCTTTCCAGAGGTTAAATGGATACAAAATTCTTAATTGGAAAGTATAAGCACATACAAATTTTAAATATTCACAGATCAAAAGTATGATACATACAAGCAACTCTTCACAGTGTCCATCAGGTGGTAAATTTTTCTCCTTGTATCCTTTATAGTAAATCATAAAAGAAATTTGTTTAGGTTCTACATTTTTATCAAAGTTTGTCACAGACTTTATGATATACACAGAACAATGATAATCTTGAATTATTTTGAATGCTGGATGGGATTCTTCACCTCGTTCAGGTAAGAATCTGTTGAATAACAAGGAGGTTGCGGGGGGAACCTACCAAATCCAGTATCCCTGATGATAATAAACAACAGGTTTTACCTGGTTTTTAACCTTGAGCCAAATATATTGAGGGAGATTTTCCTGAAGGACTAATTAACAAAGGAAAGAAATAGAAAAAGCAAAACTCACACAAGTTGAATGAGAAGGACCACAGAAGGCAACGGTTTTACTGTCTAGATGCTTATGCTTGTTGGGTCACTTTCAGAGAGTGTCATTTCCTCAGTAACCACAGCTGGCTCCAGCAGCCTAAAGCGTTCGTTTAGGGCTGGGAATGAACTGAGCATGTTATACATCCTCGCACGCAGCCTCATCCCGGTCTTGGATGGCAGAAACTTCACTCTATCAGCTGATGATGATAGCAACTTCAACATTTTGGCAGCTTCGTTCTGGAAGATTTTTGTTCTGACAGTGTAGAGGATGAAAATTTGCAATCCCTGGCAGATACAATAAAAGCTTAATATTAGATAAGTGCTGCAATACAGAACCAGAGAAGGGATTTTATTTCACCTTGTCACCTACCCTTTTCTCATCATTCACACAACTCCCCAACTTCACAAATTAATAACATCTGGTCCAGCCTATGTCATTCAGTGATTGAGCGTGGACCTATGAACCAGGAGGTCAGGGTTCAATTCCCTGTCAGGGCACATGCTCGAGTTTCAGGCTTGATCCCCAGGAGGGGGCATGCAAGAGGCAACAGATCAATGATTCTCTCTCCTCTTATTGTTTCATATCTTCCTCTCCCTTCCTCTCTGAAATCAATTAAAATATTTTTAAAATAGATATTAAGTAACATCTGTAATTGAGTTGATAGTATTGTGTGTAACACTATTATTTTGACAACATAGTAGTGTTATACAGGCATTATTATTAGGGAAAGCTGGGTAAAGAGTACATGGAAACGCTACTGTTTTTGCAACTTCTTGTATGAAACTATCTCAAAATAAAAAAAAGTTATTAAAAATAAATATCCATGGAAATCTCCCAGATTGGCATCTCTATGGCCCCAAGTTTTATAAGAATTTTCTCTAGCCTTGGCCAATGTGACTCAGTTAAGTGTCCTCTCATAGACTGAAAGGTGGCCAGTTGGATTTCCAGTCAGGGCATATGCCCCTGTCAGATTTGGTCTCCAGTGGGGTGAATAGGGGAGACGACTGATGGATGTTGTTCTCTCACATTAATGCTTCTCTCTCTATCTCCCTTCATCTCTTTCTAAAATGAATAAGCACATTTTTTTAAAGAATTTATTTCTATAATTATTATATCCCATAAATACTGTTTAGGAGTCTTCTGGTATAGATAATCCCAAGATTCTGAGTTTGACTAATAGAATAGATACTTATTTGCAAGAAATAGGCCAGTTCACTGGACAAAAACAGGAAGATTAACTTGATTGTTAGCCAACAGGTGGTATCAAACACATCAATCAGAAAAAGGCCTTGATGATACAAGGAAGTGTGCATGGGGTTTCATAAGGACAAAGGTGGTCATTAGCCATCCTGATTGTTCAAGGGAGAAATTTATTTTGGAGAAATCTGGTCCTTAGAAAACCTCCTCTTTGTGGGGTACACTATTTCATCTGACTTTTCCAGAATTTAAATTCTAAGTCAAAGACAATACTAGATAGAATTTCTGTTTGTACAATAATTAGGAAAAGTCGTAGACCGTAGACCATAAAGACACTATCCTGTGGAAGTCAGTGGAATCCCAATATTTTTGTGCTCCCTAAATCCCAAAGATGTTATTTGAAAAAACTAATTATTAGGGATCAAACTAATTATCGCTAGCACAAAGATTAAATTGCACCTTTTAAGTAATATCTGTAGCACTTAGAAAATCAATGTGTATTAGCCGTATAGCATTCTACAGCTAGAAGGAGTTTACATGTGAATTAGTCTAGTCATTCCTACACTTTAATGTACATGAATGTCATGTGGGGCCCTACTTTAAAGTTGAGATTCCCAGCTCTTACCCTATAGACTCTGATTCAGTGGGTGAGGGGTGAAGTTGCCCAGGAATCAGCAATTTAACACGCTGTGTACATTCGGATGTAGGCAATATTCAGAACCACTTTGAAAAACACTGTGTCAATTTTAACAACCTCTTCCATTTTATATTTTGCATGCCTCACTCAGAGAGATTGTGACTTACCTAAAATAATGAGGCAATAATATTAAACTTGAAAAACAGCCTAAGTCTCTTGACTTTTAGTCCATAGGGCTCTTGCCCCATGGTCACCCTCCATTTTACCGTGTAATATGAACATTTTGTAATGGGCCTCTATTTCATAATGTGCCTCTTCTGTGCATGCACTAAAGAATATCCTTGACCATACCTCTTTAAAGATATTTTTCTAAATTATTGGTAACTTTTGGCAATAAGTCCATGGTCAATTGGCAATCCCAGACTAAGCTTACCCTACTTATTGCCCTTCTAGAGAGATTCCATTGGGAGTTACCAACAGTAAGGAGCTGCCTTATATCTATTTAAATTTAGCACCAGGCACACATCCATTATTTCAGGGAGTTATTCATAAAAGGCACTGAAGAGTGCTTTCCAGGATAGACAGTGAGGAGCTACAAGCATTAAATCTGATGTTAGCAATTCATACAAATAAGCAGCTCTCCACATTTCACTAAACAAATTCCTCATCACTTGTGACCAAGACAAATTTATCTAATGCCCTACCTACCCAATGATTTCTATTTTGTATCAAAGATTTCCCTCCTCAGTGATATTTGATCAAAGCCAGAAAGAACCAATATCAACTACACACAGTGGTTACTATTCTCAGCAACTTAATGAGACAATCACCAAACACTGCAGTTTACTTCACGAAATATTAGAGAAGTACAGCCCATATATATAGCAAACAAGATATCTACCACAAAGATATACACAAGCATGTTACTTGCACTAGAGAACTATCATAATAACCTAGTTGAGGAGATGAGACTTCTCTGTAAAGAAAAAAAAAGTTAATTTTTGAGTACAAGAAGAAATGGGATAAATGAACATATAAAACTACAATCCTAGAAAGAGAAACCAAGATGGCAGCATAGGTAAATGCCTAACTGCAGCCTCACAAAACAATTTCAAAAAATACAACTAAAGTATAAAGTGGACATCATCCAGAACTACAGGAAAGTTGACTGACTGGGAATTCTACAACTAGAAGAAAAGAGAAAACCAGAAGGAAAATCAGAGGAGCTGTAAAAGCCTAAGGTACGAAGATGCTGTGCGCACCTGGGGAGAGGATGGAGCTGGAGAGGAGGGGCGGCTGAGTGCCTGGTTGGTGTTCCCTAGCGGGAAGGAGATAAAAGCTACAGTCTGTGCTGAGCCCCAGTTCCAACTGAACTGAATCCCAGTTCTGGGCAAGACCCTGGGGACCCAGGCTCATACAGAGGGATTCTAAGCTATAAGGTGGAAACTCGGGGGAGTGGCGAAAAGCAGAGCCCCAGGGTTGCGCACATTGCACTCAGAGGACAGACTGTTGACTGTGCCGCTGGATTGCCCTAGCAGGAAGGAGACAAAAGCTCTGGACTGTGCTGAGACCCAGTTCCGACTGCACTGAACCCCAGTTCTAGACCAGACCCTGGGGACCCAAGCTCATATGGAGGGAATCTGGGCTGTAAGGCGGAAACTCAGGGGAGCAGTGAAAGACAGAGCCCCAGAGTTGTGCAGGTTGCGCGCAGAGGATGGACTGTTGGCTGTGCTGTTAGATTGCCCTAGCAGGAAGGAGACAAAAGTTCCAGACTGCATTGAACCCCACTTCCAACTGCATTGAACCCCAGTTCCGGGCTCATTGGGGGAGAGACTAGACTGTCTGGTAGTGGGTGAAACTGGAGGGCGCCTTTCTCTCAGATGTGCTTGCAGCGAGTACCAAAGGACACTGAGGAACACTGAGACTCAGGAATCTCATAGGGCAGGGCTGACAGGAAGCCAAGGCTGTAGGCTCCACCCTGAAACTCCGCTCCATCCAAGCTGAGCACAGAGGTTTTTGAATAAGGCTGTCTCCTGGCATAGACACAGCTGATCCTCACAGCCAATTGGCCTGGAGGTCAGTTCCTCCCAATGATACCAACAACAATTAAGACTTAACTAGAAAAGGCTGTACACACAGTCCACAAAGGGGTGCACCAAGAGTGTCTACCTCAGATAACTGGAAGGCTGACCCACTGAACCATATAGGACACCTTAACACACAAAGTCACCCTACCAACTCAGGGAAGCAGCAAAAATGCCGAGACAAGAAAACAGATCACAAATGAAAGAAATGGAGGACAAAAAGAGACTGGATATAGAGTTCAAAACCACGCTTATAAGGTTTTTCAAGAATTTCCTAGAAAAGGCCGATAAAATAAATGAGACCTATGAGGATATGAAAAGGGATCAACTAGAAATAAAGAATACATTGTCTGAAATAAATATTATACAGAGTTCTAAAAACAGAATGAAAGATCGCAAGAATCAAGTCAAAGATTTGGAACACAAAGAGCCAGAGGACACTCCTCCACACAAGCAAGAAGACAAGAGAATCCAGAAAGTTGAAGATAATGTAAGAAACCTCTGGGACAACTTCAAGCGAACTAACATCAGAATTATGGGGATCCCAGAAGAAGAGAGAGAGCAAGATATCAAAAACATACTGAAAGAAATAGTGACAGAAAACTTCCCCCATCTGGTGAAAGAATTAGACTTACAAGTCCAGGAAGCACACAGAACCCCAAACAAAAGGAACCCAAAGAGGACCACACCAAGACACATCATAATTAAAATTCTAAGAGCAAAAGACAAAGAGAGAATATTAAAAGCAGCAAGAGCAAACCAGGTATAATAGTTACCTATAAAAGAGCACCCATACGATTGTCAGCTGATTTCTCAACAGAAACCACATAAGCCAGAAGGGAATGGCAAGAAATATTCAAGGTGATGAATAGCGAGAATCTACAGCCAAAAATACTCTACCCAGCTATCTGAGCTATAACTCAGAATCGAAGGACAGATAAAGAGCTTCACAAATAAAAATAAAAAAAAACTAAAGGAGTTTATCACCGCCAAACCAGAATTATATGAATTGCTGAAGGGGGTTCTTTAGGAAGAGGAAGAATATAAAGATAAAAATTATGAACAACAAATACATAACTATCAACAAGTGAATCTCAAAATCAAGGGAGTTAAAAAACCTGATGAAAATATTAACTGGTGAATATAATAGAATCCGAGGTATGGAAGGGGAGTGGACTGACGATTCTTAGGGAAAAGAGGAGTGGGGTTGCGGGAAGAGACTGAACATAAACTGTTCACCTATGGATGAGGACAATGGGGGGTGGGGAAAGGGCAGAGGGTGGGGTGGGAACCTAGTGGAGGGGGGGAAAATGAGGAACTTTTGTAGTAATATGAACAATAAAGATTTATTTTAAAAAAAAACTACAATCCTTCTATTTTACTTAAATTATATTAACAAAACTAGAATTAAAGTCGTCACCTCAGCCCAGCCAGCATGGCTCACTGGTTGAGAGTCAACCTATGATTCTCTCTCATCATTGATGTTTCTCTCTCTCTCTCCCTCTCCTTACTCTCTGAAATTAATGAAAATATTTTAAATAAAAATAAAAGAAGGGTACTTTTATTATATTGAAGTATAATTCACTCTGCCAACTCAGGAAAGATAAGATTAAATATAGAGACATAAAAGTCCTTTTAATATTTTTCATCAGAGCAAAAGACAGTGTTTACCACAGGAGGAAAACCTAATTTCAACATAAGTCTTTCAATAATGAATCCTTGTTTAATCTTAAAGTTTTTATATTCCCCACACATAATACACAAATACAAACATATAAAAATAATCTGAGATCAAAGTTATTTTTATTTTTAATCTATCATTTTGGTTTATCTATACCAGTTTTTGCCATAATGAAAATTAGATGCCCCCATTTCCTCTAAAAGTTTAGTTCCTTATAGGAGATGCTTCCAATATGCTAATAGAACGGTTTCCAAATAAAAACATATATAAATCTTCATTCAAATTTTAAGACAAGGTATTAATAGAATGTTCTTTAAAATTATTAAATGTATCATTGAGATAAGACTCAGGAATAAGAGCACCTTCAGTCCTATGTTTAATTATGTCATACACAAAAACTTCATAAGGTTCTGCTTCTAACAAATCAATTCTCTTGCAGGATTTTATATATATATATAGAAAAAAACAAAAGATTCCATCAAAAACCAATTAGAACTAAAAAATTAATCTAGTAAAGTTGCAGGATACCAAATAAACACCTAGAAACCAGTGCTAAACCTTTAGCAATGAAACCTTTTTTGTGCTAGGTAAGAGAAAGCAAGCAAGAAAATATGGTTCATTCAGTTCTCTTTTTTAAAAAAATTAATATCATTGTTTACCTACTGCATTTTTATACAGTAACAACAAACTATCTGAAATAAAAATTAAGAAAATAATCTTATATAATAAAGAGGTAATATGCAAAATGACCATCCCTCCCACACACAAGATGGCCATCCTTGTGTGGACACAAAATGACCATCACAAGATGGCCAACAGGGGAGGGCAGTTGTGGCTGATTAGGCCAGCAGGGAAGGGCAGTTGGGGAGTACCAGGCCTGCAGGGGAAGGCAGTTAGGGGTGACCAAATTGGCATCAATCAGACTGGCATCGGAGTGGTTAGGGGGTGATCGGGCTGGCAGGCAGAAGCAGTTAGGAGCAATCAAGCAGGCAGGCAGGCGAGCAGTTGGGAGCCAGAAGTCTTGGATTGTGAGAGGGATAAAGTCACAGATTGGAGAGGTTGCAGATGGACACATCCTCCACGTCCCAACCCCTCTACCCCTGTGCACAAATTTCATGCACAAGGGCTCTAGTCCTATTTATAATAGCATTAAAAAATTGACATAATTTGTAATAAATTTAAACCAAGTTAGTAAAAGGCCTATAACAATAAGCCATTAATGAAAGACATTGAAGAAGACAAGATAAATGGAAAGATAGCCTGAGTTCTTGGATTAAGAAAATAAATACTGTGAAAATATTCATACAACCCAAAACAATATAGATTAAATGTAATCCCTATCAAAATTCCATTGGCATTTCTCACAGATACAGAAGATAAAAAAACTATCTGAAAATGTGTATTCAGCATGGGAAAGAACATAAAGTCATAAAAAGCTTTCTTTTGTCTTCCATTAAAGGATATTAAAATAGAATCTCCTAAAGGTACTAAACAATGACCTTCAGGGAGATTTAAAATAAGAAAACTTTGGTCCAGGGAGATATCACCTCCACCACTGCATGGTCTGCTACTTTCAGACTAATCCACACCATACCTGAGTAGTGTTGAAAATGCAGAATATGTAGCTGAGGGCCTCTTTGAATTTCTCATCATGTGATAGCATAACAAATCCCAGGATCCAGGTAATTCCAAATATGACTGCGATAGATAATGTGCTGAAAACCTTCTTTAGCAATGAAACCTTTTTTGTGCTAGGTAAGAGAAAGCAAGCAAGAAAATATGATTCATTCAGTACTCTTTTTTAAAAATTAATATCATTGTTAGCCTACTGTTAAGAATATATGTTCAGCTGCCCATATAGTGTACTGTTCATTTAACAATATTATACCTCCAATGGAAAAATTATGTTAGACCTGTGCCATGCTGGATAGAATCTGATTTCGCAAGCTTTATTAAGAAATACAGTGATAACTGCATTTGGCATAAACAATTTCTTACAGGCAAATTTCACAAAGAATCAATTCTTTCTTTGGAAGAGAATTTTATTTTAGTCATCATTACTATTGGATCAGCTAGTGACAAATTGTTATGGAGGCATCTGGAATCTTCCCCTGGTGTAGGCTGATATAGAATGAAAAGTTGTTAAAATGGACAGTGATCTTCCCTTGATAATGAGACAACTGCTAATATTTCATTTTGAATGGTGAGATATTAGCAACTATTCCACAAGCAGGGGCTGGAAAGCATTTTTTAAATTAGAATTTGCCTTCTCTTTATTGCTCTCTGGAATCGGGAGTCCACTATGTTAAGAAGCCCAGGCTGGTTTGACATAGGATGAGAAACCACATGAAAGAGAAATGGTTTTTCCACACTGAATAGCTACCATTAAAAACCAGTCCACTACTACCTACGAGGCATGAAAATTAGTCACCCTAGATCATTCACCTACATTCAAACCAGAACCAGGACAACTGCCTAACCAATACTCAAATTTATGACAAATAATAAACATTTGTCATTCTAAGCCATTAAGTCTTAGAGTGATTTGTTATGCAGCGAAAGCTAAGTGGTACATGAAAGATAACTTGTTAAACAATTAAATTGTAACCTGCTTTTCATTATAACTAAGCCAATTTAAGAACAAGCCTTATTAGCCAAAATTTTGAAATATAAATTTGGTTGATGTCTGAGGCCAAAATGATATTGTTTTGTATAAATAAAATATAACCAAATTTGCAATTAGGCTGAGAAGACTTCACCTAGCCTTTTCTGCATTTCTAAGAAAATATAAGTTTGAATGATTAACATTGATATTCTTCCTCATATTTCCCCTCAAATGGATTATCATAAAGGGAAGATGATACTACTCTTGATTAGTAAATTACATGTTAAATATTACAGTTTCACTGATGAGAGTTGTTTTCATCATCTGTTCATACTGAGTGCACTCTTTCGGTGACTAGCAAAACTCACAGGTGTGCTTATAGTAAGTCTATTTGGGCTAAGTAGAGTCTTATAGAATTAAACCTGAATTCATACCTCATTGGCACCAGGTTTTAATCAGTGTGTACTGTGGGAGAAGGCGGAGGTGGGGGGATTTATGTATTTAATAGTTTCTGTTCTTTCTCTCTCCAACTGAAAGCTTTTTCTGTATATCAGGAATGACAATGAAAATCTTTATTGGAGCCAAAACCAGTTTGGCTCAGTGGTAGAGCATTGGTCTGCGGACTGAAAGGTCTCAGGTTTGATTCCGGTCAGGGGCATGTACGTTGGTTGCGGGCACATCCCCAGTAGGGGGTGTGCAGGAGGCAGCTGGTCAATGTTTCTCTCTCATCAACGTTTCTAGCTCTCTATCTCTCTCCCTTCCTCTCTGTAAAAAATCAATAAAACATATATTTTTAAAAAAATCTTTATTGGAGTCAGGAAGGTTACATAAAGGAGAAAAGCAGTCTACATGGAAACTGATAAACCAGGAAGCACATGCTCCATCTGCAGGGAATGTGAGATTAACATTGCCTTGTTGATCTTCCCCCCCCCGCCAAGGAAAAAAAATATATACATTTTTAAGTGAAATCTTCCTGTTACTTTATGCTTATAAGTAATAAAAAATAGAAATACATTATGTGATTCAAGCAACACATGTACAACATAACCTACAGCTACTAGTTTACAAAATACATTTACCAGCATTTGTTCGCAACCCTCCTATTTCTTTATCCAAATCTGATTTATTGAATGTTTGGGAGAAAATGTGAGTAGAGTTTTTTAGTTGGGAGCACAAAAGTACGTTGTGTGATGCAGCGCACCCACATTATAGTGCTGATGTTGGAAGGTGAGAAGATCTACTTTCTGAAACAAAGTTTAAGAGAGCATCTGCCTGCAACCACATGCCCCTGCCTTTGTCCCAGAGTCGGGAAAACTCTTCTAGGAAGTGCAGATATATGAGGGTGCTCTTTCATGTGCTTGACGAGTCACACCTGGCAGCTTCCCATTTCCTAGGAATCTTACCTTGTCAGATTCTGGTCATTCTTCCACACCACTTTGACTATAATGATAATATATAGAACAACATTGTTGGTGAGGATAATGGCCACAGGTAAAATGAGTGACCACAAAAATGGACTTTTTTCAAACTCATTTTCTTTTGGCAATGCCAACCAGCAGCTGTAGAGAGAAAATAAATGATTTCAGAAGACGAAGAAAGCTATAGATACTAATTCTCCATGCTGTTATTACTGATGTCCACTTAGCTGAAAGAGAATATCCTTTTGCATCCTATTTATTTGAGATGGCTTTTAAGAATTTAACCTAATGGAAAAATGAAAATGGGTTTTTGAGTCAGGCAATCCCCAATTTAAATGTCATTCTCTGTCTCTAACCAGGTGTCTGACTTTAGGCAAATTATTGTTTAATTTTATTTTTTAATATATAGCACATCTAGGTGACTCAAACTTTAAATGGTGCTAACACTCACAGAAAGATAAGACTGACCTACAATTACCCAAAATTACTAGTCTCTATCTCCAGTGGTAATCAGTGTTCCTTGTATTTTCTTCTCACATTAATACCCAAGCAGAGGTGTCAAACAGACATTTGGTTGTTAATGTGAGAAGCCCTCTCATATATTTGGCATTCAATGAACTCACATGGATGGGGACCTGGAGGGAAAGAGGCTTGGACACCCATGGTCATTAGGAAGTGTGCACCAGGAGGGGACTCCTCACCCCCTCTATATTTGTATTGCTTGGAAGAGAAAATCATACTGAATTTGTTCTCACAACAGCCAATCCCTTTGTGATCCCTAATTTAATAACTAGGACTTTGAGAAATAAGCCGCTGAGGAGAGAGCTGGATCCTACAATGAGACTAACCCTTGTAGGCATAGAGAAGATTTCTAGAGTGGAGACTGGGGAGTCACATGGTCGAGGATGAACTGACAAACAGCTGTGGGCCCGAGCTCAGAAGAGCATCTTAAGTAGACTCCAGATGAAGTATTTAACTGCTTGGTGAGTTTCCCATGCAGCACACCATGAAGAAAGTTTTAGGATATATAGCATACAGTTCAATAATTTCCCTCTTCATGCATTATAATTTATCATAATTACATCAGTCCATCAGGAAAGTCTGAAAGCAGCCTACATGATGATGGCACAGATAATTGGGGGCTAGAGCTTTAAGTAGAAATGTGGCCAGCCTTGCATTTACCTCTTAATTGGGTCCTTCTTGTAAAGATAGCATTACGTGAGGGGAACTGGGTTAGGAGTTTCAGGTATCATTGGCAGAGCAGGGAGCAGTGGGAGAGAGCATAGAATATTGAGGTTCAACAACTGGGAGGAAAACTTAGGAAAGCCAAAAAAGTCTCTCCACTTTCTAAATAAATCCTGAAGGAATGTGACCCTTGATGCCTGTGTATAGGGTGGAATATGGGGGATAATGGTCCAAGAGGAGGCAGATGTTACACATCCTTTCCTCTCTTCCAAGCTCCTCTTATCAGCCACCTAGTGTCTTCCCTAGCATACAATACAGTGCCCGGGAAATAATCAGGAAGGAATTTGCTCTGAATTATTTACAGCCCATTGAGAATAAATGTAAAATAGTAGTCTTCTTTCTCCTAAAGGCTTTTATAGAAATAGGCCTAGACCTGTGACTGGGTTCAAGTTGGAAATAAAAAAATGCACTTTGAAGTGAATTACCTCTCCCAAGAGATATGTTAATCTTATCCCAATCTCTAATTTCGTAATTCAAAATGTAAAACTCATTGAAAGATACGTAACCTTAATTAAACAGAGAAAATAATACCTGAAGTGCTTGGCTCCTATATTCAAACCAGGCAGAGAGCCTCCTATTCCATAGCTGGACATGGTTAGCCCTGGCAATAGGTAAGCACTCTAACACCACAGCCTTCCCTTGGGTGTATTGTACATTTCCAAAACTTTTATCTTTATTTGAGTTGATCTGGGTCTTAAGGTGGAATCTGGGGATATGAATGATTGGATTATAAGATGAGAAGGGAGGATCGATTAAAGAGCAGTTGTTCTGTAGCAGAATTACATGTAAAAAGTTCAGCTCAGCTTTCTTCTCTTCCTCTCCACATAAAAAGCAACCCCCAAAAAGTCAGGTACTTCCATTATTAACAGCCATTCCCGTTGGGTCACAGGAAGAATTTGTTATGTGTAATAAATCATCGTGAAATATTCATTATCTTATCTAATAATAGACAAACATGTAAATTGACGGTACCTCTGCTACGCCCACCAGCCAATCAGGAGTGATATGCAAATTAACCCAACAAAGATGGCTGTTAATTTGCATACACAAGCTCCCAGCTACAGGGAGGGGGAGTCACTTGAGTCTTCAACATGGCGACAACACAGGCCTTGCACCCCACTCCCAGTCTCTTAGAGCCTTTAGGCAGCGTGGCAAGATGGGGCCGAGCAGAAAGAGGCGGCTCCAGGGCTGAACTGGAGTGGAAAGGTAGTGAGGGAAGCCAGGTAAAGGAAGGCCCATCCTAGCACAAATCTTCATGCAGGGGACTTCTAGTAATCATATAAACATAAAATTGGCTCATGAGCATAGATAGTACCCTTTATGTTATGAAATGTTTTCACATTTGTTTCACCCCTCACACTAACCTCTGAGCAGGTAATACTATTATTGTCATTCCTGCTATCTAGATGAGAAAACCAAGATAAGATGTTACTAAGGATCAGACCTGTTCTGTCCTATAATTTTTCAGACTTAATAAAAAATTCAATTTAACATAAGGAAGTTCAAATACATAAATTTAGAAGGGAAATACTTGCTTTACCTAAGGATTTATCATAGGAAACTTTCATATCACCATATTTAAAATATAATGTTTTCTTTGAGAATTTTAAATACCCACTTAGCATATAACAGTTATAAAGTAAGATCCATATGTACAGTGGCACTTGGTCTCAGTATCACTGAACAGTTACACTCATATCAAAGAAATGGACGTTTTAAAATATATAACTCACATTTTTTCTTGCCGGTAGTTTAGATCCCATTCTGAAGAATCCTGAGAAAAAATAATTCCCACTGTCATAGCTACCATGAGAGCTGGGACTCCTAGGTAATAAAAAGAGGAACAGAATTAATAATTTACCCAATACTGGCATTAATTATAAAAGATCATGAATGAATTATACAATTAACCATTTACAAGATGTATTGTTGTTTCCACTATAGACAATGTACTAAATGATCCTACAGCTGTAGGTCAACAGTTTTGAAATTATTTTTCTTAAAGAGTCACTCTCATTTTCTTTCTTTAAAAATGTTTTTAAAGTAGCTAGAAAGTTTTTCTGGTCTAAATCGCAAATCAAATTAGTAGAGATGTTGAAGAAAATTAACATCTTGAAGTTAGCTTATGATAAATCTAGCACGATCCATCTCCTTCCACAGAACTGTGAGCTATTAGGTGGGAGACACCTCTGAGTTTTCCATCTCCCCTATAATTGGGTCATCATACAATTAAGTCTTCAATAGACACTTGCTTAAATTAAATTATTTCCATTAAAGAAATGCAAATTAAAACCACAATAATATATTACCCCGCAACTGTCAGAATGGCTAGCATCAATAAATCAACAAACAAGTGTTGGCAAAGATGTGGAGAAAAGGGGATCCTGGTACAATGTTGTTGGGAATGCAGATTGGTGCAGCCACTGTGGAAGCAATAAGGAGGTTCCTCAAAAAATTAAATATGGATCTGCCTTATGACCCAGCAATTCCACTTCTGGGAATTTATCCGAAAAAACCTGAAATACTAATTTGGAAGAATATATGCGCCCCTATGTTCATTGCACAATAGTCAAGATTTGGAAGCAGCCAAAGTACCCAACCAAAGTATCCAGTAGATGAGTGGATTAAATAAACATACACACAAAAAAAAACAACAACACTGTGATACATTTACATGATGGAATACTACACATCCACAAAAAAGAAGGAAATCCTGCCGAGACCGGTTTGGCTCAATGGATAGAGCGTCGGCTTGGGGACTGAAGGGTCCCGGGTTCGATTCCGGTCAAGGGCATGTACCTTGGTTGCGGGTACATCCCCAGTGGGGGGGGGGGGGTGCAAGAGGCAGCTGATTGATGACTCTCTCTCATTGATGTTTCTAACTCTCTATCTCTCTCCCTTTCTCTTTGTACAAAATCAATAAAATATATTTTTTAAAAAAAAGAAGAAGAAGGAAATCCTACCCTTTGTGACAGCATGGATGTGGAGCTGGAGAGCATTATGCTACGTGAAATAAGCCAGTCAGAGCAAGACAAGTATCGTATGTTTTCACTCTTATGTGGAATCTAGTGAACAAAAATAAACTAACAAACAAAATAGAAACTGACTCATAGGTAGAGAACAGGCTGACAAACTGTCAGAGGGGATGGGGCTTGTGGGGCTGGGTGACAAAGTTGAAGGGATTCAGCAAAAGAAAACCCCAAAGTCATGGACAACAGCATGGTGTTTACCAGAGGAGAAGGAAAGCTGGGGGGTGGGGAGGTTGGGGAAGGTAAAGGGGGGATGAATAGAAATAGGAGAAGGCTTGACTTGCAGTGATGAACACACAGTACAATATACAGGTGAAGTATTACAGAATTGTACACCTGAAACCTGTATAACCCATGTCACCCCAATAAATCAAGATAGTCACAAAGTAAATAAATAATTTCAACAGAATTAAATTTCTGGGTAGGTAGAGAAGCAAGCGCTTACCCCATCCAATTAAAGACATGTAAAGAGTGAACCGTTGAGGAAGAGGCTTCATAGTCCTGATCAGAAGGAAGTAGAGCTGCACAGCGCTGACTCCAGTCCAGGTAAACATCGCCAACAGAAAATAGTGCAGCAAGATAGCAACCGCCGTGCACAGTCTATTTGGAGGGATTTTTTGCGGAATTTCATTATTTTCATCAGTACTATTTTTATCCTTATTTTTGTTTTCAATTCCAGTCACAAAGAGGAGGTTGAAAATCAACATTGATGTGCACAGACTGACCAACACCCAGGTTACTGAGGTTTTTCTGACTTTCCTGAAAATAAATCAGTAAGTATAATTAAATAAATAAACAAAATAACTGCAAAACATAAATTCAAGTGAAATCATGAGGGAACAACGGAATGTTATTATCGAATGTAAATCCAGCTCATGGCCCAGTGGGACAGCTGGTAAACCTACCTTCCCTGCTACATCAGAAAACCATACTCCCCTCTCATCTCATGTCCACAAGGAAGTGAGTTAGAAAAAGACAGGCTGATACATCCTTTCTTAAAACCGTGTTCTGATCAAAGGTGACAGCTCTTCTCCAGAGAAGACCCCAATACATACTTTCCATTATTTATTCCCTGATATTCACCTCCAGCGCTGGCCTGTCACTTGTTTTAATTAACAGAGTGCAGCAGAAGGCCTGGAAGCCAGGGCCAACTTGACCATTAGATTCAGGGGTGCTTAGGGCCCTCAATACCTTTGTGGCCCACAGCAACGTTTCAACCCCTTTCAATCCAAAACAAACAAAAATGAACTTTCATGTCAAAGAAAAAAATGTAGCATTTATAAAATAATAATATTATTATGTTCATCTTTATACCAATGCTGTCATAAAACATGCTTTTTATCCTTTTTTATGGAAGGGAGTCTCACAAAGGCAAAAGTGCCTGGGACACACTAAGTCATAACAAGCTTTCCTTTTGTGCTCCTGGGAGTTCTGAGCCACCATGTAAAATTCCAGCTGCTCTGTCAGGGAACCTCGTGGAAATGCTCTGAGACTGTGGAGAGAGAGACCAGCTGCTGAAACATCCCAGCTGAACCTACTGATGACTCCAACCCCAGCCACCAGGTGACTGCAGTCTCATGGGAGACACTAAGAGAGCCTTTTTGGCCAAAACCGGTTTGGCTCAGTGGATAGAGCATCAGCCTGCGGACTGAGGGGTCCTAGGTTCGTTTCCCATCAAGGGCATGTACATTGGTTGCGGGCACATCCCCAGTGGGGGGTGTGCAGGAGGCAGCTGGTCGATGTTTCTCTCTCATCTATGGTTCTAGCTCTCTGTCCCTCTCTCTTCCTCTCTATAAAAAATCAATAAAATATATTTTTTAAAAAGAGAGAGAGAACCCTTTGGAAGAAGTCCAGCTGAGCCTAGTGAAGTCGCGGAATTATTAGAGATAATAAATTGTTCTTTCAAGTTTTAGGGCGGCCTTTTTATAGTGCAGTAGACAATAACTTCTCTAGATTTGCAAGGACATGCAAAGGCTCTCTATATAAACATTCTAAAAGGATTTTTCAGATTTTCAAATAGGAAATTATTGCATATTCTAGATGAACCCATGTGTGAAAGCCTCTTGAGTTTTTTAAAGTATTTCATTTTAAATATTATGTATAAATTTTAAAATAATAAGGCCAGATACAATTTTTAAGTAATTGTATAATTTTAAGTAATATTAAACTTATTACTTTAAAACTAACAAAATATCTTAAACTAGCAAAATGTTATAAGGTTTAGCTTACATTACACTTAAAGAGTAAACATTTGCCCTAACCAGTTTGGCTCAGTGGATAGAATGTTGGCCTTCGGACTGAAGGCCCCCGGTTTGATTCCAGTCAAAGCCATGAACCTTGGTTGCAGACATATACCCAGTAGGGAGTGTGCAGGAGGCAGCTGCTCTATGTTTCTCTCTCATCGATGTTTCTAATTCTCTATTCCTCTCCCTTCCTCTCTGCAAAAAAATCAATAAAAAATATTTTAAAATAAATAAAAAGTAAACCTTTTAAATTAAATGAAAATATTTAAAATTCATTTAACAGCCTATTGTTCCAATGATATTCTTCATAACTTGAATAGACTGATGATTACTGTCCCTGTAAATGGCTTATACTCAACATTTCACATGTGTCTTTTCTATAAGACATCTCAGAGCCTTTTTTCTATGGAGTATCTCCCAAGGACTAGAATTTCAGGGACCATACTTTGGGAAATACTTGCTGATAGTCAAATGGTCAAGATATTTTGAATGAGTCTTTTAATGTCAAACATGTCCAAGGACTGTCCTTTCATTGGAAGATATAATTTTGGATATAGAACCAAGTGCTTTTTAAATGGCTTTTTTCTTCATCTCATATTTACCTAAGATTTTTCTGTAAAAGCCTTTTCTCATTTTGTCTGCAGGCTGGCAGTGTTTAACAGTAGTCTTTAGAAGGCAGTGAATGAGATAGAGAAAGACTTGAGAAGTGAGAGAGAGGGATATCTTCAATGGACCATGTGTATATTTGAGGTTGGCATAGAATTCAAGATTGGCCTTAATAAAGTTGATTTCAAGTGTGAGGTTTGATATTCCATTTACTGTGCATGTATTGTTTTCTGTAATATTTAAATGCAAGTATATCCTTAAATTCCCTCTAATGACATTACAGTTCTCTGTAGACTATGGTATATAGTCCTATATTAATGAAAGTTATAAAATCTACACTCACTATCATCTAAACCCTTCTAGATTTTTTCAGACTGCAAGGCCTCTTAGAATAACAATTCCCCAAGTTTATTACTGTGCTTGACGTTCTAACATCTTCAAGTGTCCCATTATTTTTAACTAGAAGTCCAGTGCACAAAATTCGTGCAATGGGGGTGAGGGTCCCTCAGCCCAGCCTGTACCTTCTCAAATCCGGAACTCCTTGGGTGATGTACGACTGCCTCTCACAATCCAGGACCACTGGCTCCTAACTACTTGCCTTCCTGATCACCACTAACTGCTCCCCTACTGGCCTGATTGCCCCTAACTACCTCTGCCTCGCCCCACACCTGGGACCCAAAATTCCCTCTTCCGGCCAGTTGAAGGCACCTAGGAGCCAAGCTTCCCTCCCTGTAGCTGGCCACAGGCACCCAGGACCTGTGCTGGCTTTACCCAGATTGGCCCCAGCCACTGGCACCCAGGACTACAGAGCAGGCGGTTTGTCCCTCTCCCAGGCCACAGGCACAGCTGCTGGCACCTGGGACTGCAGGGTGGATGGCTTGTCCCTCTCCCAGGCCACAGCCTGATTGGTCCCCATTTCTCTCTAGAGAGCTCATTTGTGCCTGGCTGGTCCCCATTCCTCTCTCCCTAGTGTTGAGTGTTTGAGCCTTTAAGGCATGATGGCATGAGGGTATGATGACCATTTGCATATTAGCTTTTTATTATATAGGATGTCCCAGAATTTGATGTCTGTTTGTACAATATATATCTTTTATGATTTTATAATATTACATCATGATCTTTCTCAGTCTTTGAATTTCCATGCTGAATAAAAAGTTTATATTCAAACAGAACTTTGTCCATCCTCTTGATATTTCAGTTGAGATTTAGTTGACAACTACAAAAAATAGTCAAAAGAATCCTTTCATATAAAATAACATTACTTTCTAATTTTTCTTCAATTTCAACAATATATTATAATCCACAGGAGAATAGACTCTTTTTAAATAGCTTGGCTTTTCTGTATATTATAATATTCTGTGCTTCGTTATATATGCACATAAATTTATAATATATACTGAGTGGCCAGATTATTATGATCTCTGAACGCATAATAATTTGACCACTCAGTGTATATCCTATATAATAAAGGCTAACATGCAAATTGTCCTCTCATCCAGGAGTTTGACTTGAAGGCAGGCTGGCCAACTGCCCATGTCCCCTCACCCTGGCCAGCTGGCTGGACCCCACCCATGCACAAATTCATGCTCTGGGCCTATAATATATTACATTAATATGGGAACCTGCCCATGAAAAAAAAACAAAAAACAAAAAAAACTTGATTCAGGATTTTAAAATCAACATAATTTTGTTTTTATTTTTGTGTTTTTTTCCTGGTGGCTTTTTAGTAACATCTATGATAGCACAAATTGTCCTAAGAAACATGTTGATAGAGGATGCAAAAAAGAAAAAGAAAAAGAAAAAGAAAAAGAAAAAGAAAGAAATCTGATTATAATTCAAACGAGTAACATTTTAGGCAAAGAAACTAGTTATGCTGCTACCACAATTATTTCAATGGGATCCAATAACTGAATGCTCCAGTGTGGTGATGGTAGAAAACAAATCAAAAGACAAATATAAGAGCCATGTATTTTTGTATGACTGACTTGTAATTACATAGCATGTAATTTTCTTTCCTCGGGGGATGTCAGAGAGCCAGTTTTGGCCTGCAGGCCAGTCAGAGGGACCCCACCCATGCACAAATCTGTGCACCAGCCTCTAGTATGATTATATTAATAAGAACTTTGGTTAATTTCTTCCTGCCCTTCCCCCTCCCCCCTTTCCTCTGAGATTCATCAGTCTGTCCCATGCTTCCATGCCTATGGTTTCTGCTTAAGTGACCAGCTGACTGGCCGACTGGTCGGTAGCTATGACATGCTTTTATTTACAGGCAGTCCTCGGGTTACATAGGACTCAATGTATGTCATGTCTTGGTTACTTCGCCATCTCCATTTTTTTATGAAAAATAAGCTCGGTCATTTTGACATATTTACATATGTGCCTTATGTTTTTTATTATTTATTTACCACAAGTAAAGGTCAGGAATTGTTATCTTTCTTTTAAGTTTTTTTTACTGTTTCCCTTCATTACTGCTGTGTATGTGCTCAATGTGAGTGACATAGGTGCTTATGTAGGTGGTTTCTGACTTACGACAAAAATTGCATTACTTCACACCATAGGAACGGATCTCCAATGTAACCTGAGGACCTACTGTATATAAATTCTGTACACAGTATATTTGTATAACATTTGTCTTCCCCCTGAAAATGTAAACCCCATGAGAGATGAGAGATAACCTGTCTTATTCATATGATGGTTGGCCCATAGTAAGCACTCAGTATAAGATTTTTAAATGAATGGCAAGAGACTCATTGAGTGTGAAAGATAAAGAAAAGAAATAAAAAAGAATTCTGGCTCTTTGGAAATATGGCTGATTTTAAGTACAGGGCAAAGAAAGTGATAGATGTACCTTTATCATCTTGCTGTGCCTGAAATAAGGAAGTACTTAAAGACTGTTAGGAACATGACAAAATAACATCAAGGGACTCCCTCTGGTTACATTGAAGAGTACCCTTTTTTGGGTACTTTTTTTTTAAGAGAGAGGAAGGGAGAGAGAGAGAGAGCAAGAGAGAGAGAGAGAGAGAGAGAGAGAGAGAGAGAGAGAGAGAGAGAGAGAGAGAGAGAGAGAGAGAGAATACCAGTGAGAGAGAAACAGCCATCAGCTGCCTCCTACAGGGGATAGAACTTGACACTTGAGCACATGCCCTGATAGAGAATCAAACTAGTGACCTTTTGGTGCATGAGGCAGTGCCCAACCAACTGAGCCACAGTGACTAGGGTGGAGGGTACACTTTTTATGAAGGAATATAATGACTAATATAAAATACTAAGTTTGAAAATTATTATTCCCAACCATTACTGTAATTATATTTCCAGTTAGGATCATCTCTCTCTCTCTCTCTCTCTCTCTCTCTCTCTCTCTCTCTCTCTCTCTCTCCTCTACACATCTGAGAAAACAGTTGTGAAGGAATTTAGTAGAGAGAAATAAATCTGAAAGAAAAATGAATTCAAGTTATCTTGAGTATGAGAGGAAAACTAGGTCGACCCATTTATGTTACAGATATTCCTCTGCTATGAGTCCATTCCTCTCCTGTGGTCAGCCTTGGGGATATGGTAGTGAAAACAAAACAAAACAAACAACAGCAACCACAAAATCAGAGAAGGTCACTAGTCTCATCAATTTACATGCGAATGGGGAAAACATACAGTACACATGTAAACTAAAAATGGGCTCTATGCTCAGAGGAAATAAAAAGGACAGCAATCTCTCTCCTGAGAAGAGCCAACTCCCCTTCTTACCTGGTGACAATCTGAAATATAATTGTGAGAATCAGACCAGTAATGGACAGCGCACATCCAACAGTGGTTAATTCGTTTAGGCCAGGATAATTAGCCTCTGTAAAACTCTGGAAAAATAAGACAAGATTACTATTTTAAAGTAACAGTTAACGAAATGCCTACCAAAAGTAAAAATCATGAAAAGTTATATTGGTCAAAATAACCAGATAGTTGCCGCATATGTCTTCTTTTTATAACTGTGGATATAGTATTTTAAAAGGAAATAAAAGGACTTATTGCTAAGTCTACATGAAATAGGGCTTAACAGCAATTGTTTAAACTAATTCAGTTAGGGAAAACATATATACTGCTCCTCACAGTCTAAAATCAAAGTTGTTGGATGAGATCTCAACTGGCTAGGTTACTTCATTTATCCATCATATTATTTTTATGTGTAACTTTAATCCAAGGGGAAATCAGCATATCTAAGCTGATGCCCTAAAAATAAAGTCGCATAAATATTTTTAAGGATATGGAAACTTGTTCACATTATCCAGTCATTTCTTAAAGGCCTAATTTTTATGTAATATAATACTAGAGGCCCGGTGCACAAAATTCATGCACAGGAAGGGAGGGTCCCTCAGACTGACCCGCACCCTTTCGCAGTCCAGGAGCCCTTAGAGGACATCCCTCTCGCAGTCTGGGACCCCTTCTTACTGCTGACCTGCACACTCTCCTTACCGCTCAGCTCACTGCTTCTTAGTGCTGTCATGGAGGCAGGAGAGGCTCCTGCCATTGCTGTTGCATTCACTAGCCATGAGTCCTTTGAGCCTGTGAGCCCGGCTTCTAGCTGAGTGGTGTTCCCCCTGTGGGAGTGCACTAACTACCAGGGGGCAGCTCCTGCATTCAGCATCTGTCCCCCAGTGGTCAGTGTGTGTCAGAGCAACTGGCCAACTAGTCATTCAGTTGCTTAAGCTTTTATATACGATATATTCAGACTAGAGGGCTGGTGCATGAAATTCGTGTGCTGTGATGGAGGTGGGGGGAGAGGGGAGGGCTGTCCCTCAGCCCAACCTGTACCCTCTTCAATCTGGGACCCTTCAGTGGATGTCTGAATGCCACTTCTGCCAAAGTGCACGTTGGCCACATGTTCTGGAGCCTCAGACACAAATTGTAGGGGGCTCAGTGCCTCACTATGGACCCCTCCCACTAGCCACCTGGGATGTGTGGGTCTGGGGAAGGGAATTAGTGTATACTCACCCTGGTGGACCCCACCTGATTCCATAGACCCTTTCCCCTGTTCTGGCATCTGCTGGTCCCTCTTACTCCCCCAGTACCTCCAAACCTCCCTATGCTGACCCCAACTCTCCTTCTGCACCAGCCCTCCCCACCCCCCCCACACACAGATTTCACCCTCTCTATCCCCACCCCTAGTTTTCTACCCCATACTTCTTCCTGCCCTTCCCCACCTCCATTCTGCCCTCCTGCCCCAGACTACCCAGCAGCCCTGGCACTGGGAGAAAGCATTAGAATAAAGATTCCCTTGGCTGGAAGAGACTGTCCAGGGAGCTGCATGCAGAAAGGTGCTCCCAGTCCTGTACCTGCAACTGCTCCATCCTGCCAGATGCCAACCAGAAACTGTGTCTCTGGGGACAGAGGATAGTAGAAGTAGGCTGCTGTCCTTTGAATGCCTTTATCAGGAGGAAACTCTCCCCTTCCCCCCCAAAAAAGTTCACCCTGCTGCTTCCCTTATCATTTTCAGCAACCCTCCTTTGCCCTTTTCCCTGAAAGTGGAAGGATTGATGCACATCTTATTTAATAAAAGAGTAATATGCAAATTAACCATCACTCCACGACAAAATGGCGGCACCCATAGACACAAGATGGCCACGCCCGGTCTTCTCAGGCCCATGGGCTGCTGCTGAGAGCAGGCAGCATGAGGCCCTGGCTGTTGGCCTGGGGAGTGCCTTCTCACCCCCAGCATGATCCTCTCCCAGCCTCGACCAGGGCAGTGGCCTGGAGGCAGACGTGCACCCCAGGCACTACAGCTCCCAGTAGTGACCTGGGCCATAGGCCTGGGAGGCAGCGCACATGCACCCACCCCTATCACGAGTTCCGCTCCCAGCCACAATCTGGGCCATAGGCCTGGGAGGTGGCACACACCCTGGTGTGATCAGGTCCCAGTGGTGACCTGGGCAGTGTCCTGGGAGGCAGTCATGCACCCCTGGCATAATTAGCTTCCAGCTGCAACCTGGGCCATCAGCCTGGGAGGCAGCGTGCACCCCCTTCATGGTCCACTCCCAGCAGCAACCCTAGCCGAGGCCTGGGCAGTGGCCTCGCCCTCCCTCCCGGCCCCTTCACCCCTCAAACCCCCACCGCCATGCGTGATCTGCTTGCTACTAGCATCGGCCTGGGAGGTGCCCACAACCGCCTATCTCTTCCCCCAGTCTCCCCCAGCAATCAGCTCCTATCCACAGCCAGACGGTGTGGGGGTGTAGGCCTGGGAGGGAGCTGTGTCCCCAAGAGCTATCCCTTCCCTGGGGCAGCCTGGGGAGTCAACCTCCAAAGGGCCTGTGCCCCCATGGAGTGATCCCCACTATAGCCTTGGAATTTCCCTTGCCCCCAGCAGAATGATTACAGACAGAAAAGGAATAAAAGGAGAAATGAAAGAAAGGACAAAAGATGAAACATCAAGAAAAAAAAGAGAAGGCAAAAAGGATATCACATGATATCACATGATATCACCTTTCCAAGGTCTCATGAAATTCCTGTTTAATGAGTTTATTTTATGACACTTTTAGTTTGGGTTTACATTTTTACTGGTTTGTCAAGACCATGGCAGTTACACTGTCCAATATGTTAAAGAAAAAAACCCTATCTAATAAAGAGGGAATAGGCAGGGGAGAGCATTTGGGGGTGACAGGGCTGTCAGGGGAGGGCAATTGGGGACTATCAGGCTAGGAGGGGAGTGGTTAGGGGGTGATCAGGCAGGCAGGCAAGCAAGCAGTTGGGAGCCAGCAGCCCTGGATTGTGAAAAGGATGGCTGACCACAACCGGGTTAGGAATTGGACCAGAACTTGGGCTGAGCTCCCCTTGGCCTTGGGCTGAGCCGGCCCTGGCAGCATGGGCCCCACCATTTGGGTGCTTAGGTTTCTGTTATCTAGGCCTCCTGAGCGTTCCCGTCTCTGAGAAGAGTTGAGACGGAGCTCTCCTTGTATCCTGACTTGGGGAGTACGTGCTTGGAGCTGAGGCTGCAGGTGAAGAGGAACAGAGTCTGGTGCTTGGCTTTTGGTGATCAGTTTGTCTCTGCCTGGAGGCACTACACGACCCCAACAGGGTGACTTTTCTGAGCTTTCACTTGTGCATTTATACCGCGCATGCTTCCTCTGAGACACGGAGTCCAAGGGGAAGGAGAGAGGTGCCAATTCCTCAGTGTGAATGAGGCTTTACACTTTGAACTGCTAGCCTGAATCAGTGATCTAATTCTGTGGATTCAGGAGACTTTGGCAGGTTGGGTAGGAGTGGTGGCAGAGTAGGGTTTTATATTTCTATAGAGGCCCAGTGCATGAGTGGGGTCCAGCCAGACCACTCCAATGGGGGCCATTGGGACCTGGTCAGCCAGGGTGAGGGGCCACAGGAAGTTTGCCAGCTGCCCAACTCCAATTGGGGTTAGGGAGGAGGGCTGCTGGAGGGTGGGGCCGGCCAGGGCAAGGGGCTGCAGTCATTCTGATCATTCCAGTAGTTCCCAGTGATTCTTCCATTTGGTCGCTGGGCTTTTATTATATTGGATATCCCTATTCCAGTATTTTAGTATATATCCATGAAAAGTATATTTCATATAAGTAGTATTCTTAGAAATTTAGAGAGGTAATAATAGTGGTCACTGGGAGGGTAGGATATATATAATTATTCTTAATTTCCTATACTCGCTAATACTTTTCATTGGTAAGGTTTAAAAAGCCATATATGCTTATTTAAAAAAGTAAGATCTTAGCTAATGAAGAGGGAATATGCAAATTGACTGTCACATCATCAAAAAAGATGGCAACCCCCATAGCCACAAGATGGTGGTGCCCAGAGGAGGAACCAAGATGGCGGCCTAGGTAAGCACCTAAGCTGCCACCTCGCACAACAATTTCAAAACAACAACTAAAATCAGAACAGACATCATCTAAAAACACAGGAAAGCTGGCAGAATGGGAAATCTACAACTAGAAAGAAGGAGAGAGGCTCATGGATCAGATTGGGAGCCGCAAAGTGCTGAGGTAGGGTGATGCGCATGTAGAGAGGAAGTGCAGCTGAATACTTGGCTGGTGGGAGGAGAAAGGAAGTCCCAGATTGCACTGAACCCTTTCCGACTATACTGAACCCCAACCCTGGCCGAAACCCCGTGGACCCAGGCTCATACAGTGAAGTCTGGACTGTAGGGAAAGGTACCCAGAGACTCAGAGACTGGGAAATTGGGGAAGCCGGGAGTCACAGTGGGCAGGGTCTACAGTCGCGCACGAGTGAGTGCACGTAGAGAGGTCTGACTTCGGAGGTTCCCACGGCCTTTGTATAGCAGAAGGAGTGAGAAGCTCCAGACTACAGAGACCCAACCCAATTCTGGACGAGCCCCTGAGGCACCCATGCTCTTGCATGGGGAATCTGGGAAGGTCAGGCAGAAACTCAGGGGAGCCGCAGAAGGCAGAGGTCAGGCGGAAACTCAGGCAAGCGCACAAGGGCAGGGCTGATGGGAAGCCAAAACTATCAGCTCAGCCCTGAGACTCCACCCCATCCAAGCTGAGCACAGAGGCTTTTGAAATTTTGCAAGTCTGATCCTATAAGACTGTCTCCAATACAGAAGTTATCCCGAAGTAGACACAGCTGATACTCACATCCAATTGGCCTGAAAGTCAATTCCTCCCAGGGATACCAACAACAATCAAGACTTAACTACAACAAGGCTGTACACGCAGTCCACAAAGGGGAGCACCGAGTGTCTACCTCAGGTAACTGGGGAGGCTGACCCACTGGGCTATATAGGACACCAAACACACAAAGCCATCCTACCAACTCTGGGAAGCAGTGAAAATGCCGAGACAAGGAAATAGATCTCAAACGAAAGAGATGGAGTATATAGAGTTCAAAACCACAGTTATAAGGTTTTTCAAGAATTTCGATAAATTTAATGAGACCCAACTAAAAATTAAACATAAACTGACTGAAATGGAAAATATTATGCAGAGATCCAACAGCGGAATGGAGGAACATAAGAATCAGGTTGCCGAAACTGGTTTGGCTCAGTGGTAGAGTGTCAGTCTGCAGACTGAAAGGTCCCAGGTTCAATTCCGGTCAGGGGCATGTACGTTGGTTGCAGGCACATCCCCAGTGGGGGGTGTGCAGGAGGCACTTGGTCAATGTTACTCTCTCATTGACGTTTCTAGCTCTCTATCTCTCTTCCTTTCTCTCTGTAAAAAATCAATGAAATATATATTTAAAAAATAATAAAAGAATCAGGACGAAGATTTGGAATACAAAAAGCCAAAAGACACTCCTCTGGAGAAGCAAGAAGAAAAGAGAATCCAGAAAGTTGAAGATAGTGTATGGAGCCTCTGGGACAACTTCAGGCATACCAACATCAAAATTATGGGGGTGCCAGAAAAAGAGAGAGTGCAAGATATTGATAACATATTTGAAGAAATAATGACAGAAAACTTCCCCTACCTGGTGAAAGAAATAGACTTACAAGTACAGAAAGCGTACAGAACCCCAAACAAGAGGAAACCAAAGAGGGCAACACCAAGACAAATCATAATTAAAATTTAAAGAGCAAAAGACAAAGAGAGAATCTTACAAGCAGCAAGAGAAAAACATTTACCTACAAGGGAGCACCCATACGATTGTCAGCTGATTTCTCAACAGAAACTATGCAGGCTAGATGGGAGTGGCAAGAAATATTCAAAGTGATGAATAGTGAGAACCTACAACCAAGATTACTGTATCCAGCAAAGTTGTCATTCAGAATTGAAGGGCAAATTAAGAGCTTCACAGATAAGAAAAAGCTAAAGGAGTTCATTGCTACCAAACCAGTATTATATGAAATGCCGAAAGGTATTATTTAAGAAGGAGAAGAAGAAGAAAAAAGATAAAAATTATGATCAACAAATACATATATATCAACAAGTGAGTCTAAAAATCAAATGAATTAAAAATCTGAGCAACAGAAGGCTACCAACTCAGAGAAGCTGCAAAAATGCTGAGACAAGGAAATAGATCACAAATGAGAGTACCGATTGGAGGAGAAACCAAGATGGCAGTGTAGGTGAGCAACTGGTCTGCCGCTCCCACAATTTAAAAATTAAAACTAATATGAAGGACATCTATCATCCAGAACAGCAGAAAGGAGGTACTGGGTAGTTAATAGTCAACAATTAACATTATAATAAGAGCAATGAGGGACTGATGGGGCTCTTGGAATGTGACCAGCTGGAGAAATGGAGGAGTGGCAGGCCCAGAGCAGCCAGGCCTGGAGCAGCAGCAGCCAGGCCTGGAGTAGCAGCAGCAGTCAGGCCCGAAGCAGCCAGGCCTGGAGCAGCAGCAGCCAGGCCCGAAGCAGCCAGGCCCAGAGCAGCCAGGCCTGGAGCAGCAGCAGCCAGGCCTGGAGCAGCCAAGCCTGGAGCAGCAGCAGCCAGACCTTAAGAAGCCAGGCCCAGAGCAGGCAGGCTCAGAGTATCCAGGCCCAGAGCAGCAGCAGCCAGGACCAGAGCAGCCAGGCCCAGAGCAGCAGCAGCCAGGCCCGGAGCAGCCAGGCCCGGAGCGGCAGCAGCCAGGCCCAAAGCAGCCAGGCCCGGAGCATCCAGGCCCAGAGCAGCCAGGCCCAGAGCAGCAGCAGCCAGGCCCGAAGCAGCAGAAGCCAGGCCTTGAGCAGCAGCAGCCAGGCCCAGAGCAGCCAAGCCCAGAGCAGCAGCAGCCAGGCCCAGAGCAGCCAGGCCCAGAGAAGCAGCAGCCAGGCCCGGAGCAGCCAAGCCCAGAGCAGCAGCAGCCAGGCCCGGAGTGTTGTGGGGTCGAACCCTGGGTTCAAAATGAAAGAAAAGAAGGAGCAATGCAGCCATTTTGGGTACCAGAGTGTTATGTCCGTCATCACAATGGACTCAGAGAAGCTCCTGTGTCCCTTCACCCAAAAGGACTGAGAGTTGCACAGACGACAGCAAAGTGGGAGAAGAAAACTGAAGGCAAGGGACTGAGGTGCCAACATGGAGTCATCTGAAAAAATTAAATACTGAAGTGGAAGCTACTTCTTTAATCATGTTCCTGCTCATGCTAGCATCTGTTAGCTTCCAGTCTTCTGCAAAGTCTTGTGCAGCAAGTCCAAGGACTCTGAGTAAATCTACACCAGCAACAAAAGAGACTCATTTAGTAGCTAAAAATATTAATATGTTCATAATTCTGATTTATCATTTTGTTGTTTTGCATTGACATTGTTGTTATTATTTAATAGCCAAAGTTTTGCTCTTGACATTCAAGTTTTGAAAATAACATGTATGTGGTTTAAAAAAAAAATCTGAGGAACAAAATAAACTGGTGAATATAATAGAATCAGAAGCAAAGAAAGGGAGTGGATTGATAATTATCTGGGGGAAAAGGAGTGTGGGGGGTGCAGGAAGAGACTGGATTAAAATCTTATACCTATGGATGAGGACAATGGTGTGGGGGGAGAGGGGAAGGTTAGGGCAGAGGGTGGGGCGGGAACCGGGTGGAATGGAGCTATGGGGGAGGGGGGAAGGAGAAACAAGTGTAATAATCTGAGCAATAAAGATTTATTTAGCCAAAGCCGGTTTGGCTCAGTGGTAGAGCATCGGTCTGCGGACTGAAAGGTCCCAGGTTTGATTCCGGGCAAGGACATGTACCTTGGTTGCGGGCACATCCCCAGTAGGGAGTATGCAAGAGGCAGCTGGTCGATGTTTCTCTCTCATCGATGTTTCTAGCTCTCTATCTCTCTCCCTTCCTCTCTGTAAAAAATCAATAAAATATATTTAAAAAAAAAAAAAAAAGATGGTGGTGCCCTGTCCCCTCAGCCCCGTCAGAGTCCACAAGTCCTTTCAGCCCAGCAGGAGGGCAGGGAGAGTGGTGAAGCAGGTGCACAATGCGACCAGACCTGCCCTCAGCCCCACCCTCATTGCTCAGGGCTGCCCAAGACTCAGGTAACCAGGGCAAGTTGAGGCTCTTGCTGCCGGCAGTGGCAGCAGCAGCAGCAGAGGTGTGATGGGGGGCATCACCTTCCCCTGATCACCAGGTCACCTCCTGCCCCTGAGGGTTCCCGGACAGTGAGAGAGGGCAGGCTGGGCTGAGGACGCCCCCTCCAGTGCATGAATTTTCATGCACCGGGCCTCTAGTAGAAACATAATTTTAAAAGCATGTTTCTCTTTACTGTCAGCTACCCCATATCATAACCTAACTCTTGAAATCCTGTCTCTTCTCCAGAAGTGACCTTTTTTAATGTGCTTATAAATATCATATTACTATGTCTTTTGCACAAATATATAGGGGTTATTAACATAATAGGGTTGGTTTTGAATTACTATTTAAGATCTCATAAAAATTTTCCATATCAGTATATTTCTGTGCAGTAAACTTTCATTCTTTATTCAGTGAATATGTGTTTCTTTTGTAGAAGTAAAAACAAAAATAAACTTCACTTTAAATAATAATAAAACAAAAATTTTATGATGACAAAGAATCAGAATACATAGATCTTCAGAAATCATCTACCCACTCAGCTCCCACATGCTCTTATGCTACAAACAATTCTAATTAGCCTTTTTTTAAATTCTGCAACCCAAAACTAATTGTAAATATGAGCAGGTAGTCATTGAGGCATACTCAGATATTAGTGAAAAGAAATAGTTGAAAACCTAACCTTAAAATAAAAGAAAAAAGAATATGGTGATGTACTATGCATAGCAGTCTGAGCTATCAAAAAAGTTAAAATTTTATCTTTATTATGTCCTGATTGAGAAAGAAGATCTTTGTAAAACAAGTTAGACAACAAACAATCAAAATCAACTAAGATTTTATAATTAAAATAAGAAAACTATAGTTATCTCAAAAACATTGAAAGAGTAATGTTCTCTAATTTGATAGTCTCTGTTATTTCAATGTACTCTGACCTCCACTGGCTTCCCAAATACATCATGGTTACTAGAGAAAGAAAACTTCAGCTTCCCTTTGGGAGATTTGCAGCATTAGTAATACCTTAATTAAGGGTAAGACACACATTTCATCAAGAATATGCATTAAGCTGAAACCGGTTTGGCTCAGTGGATAGAGCATTGGCCTGCGGACTGAAGGGTCCCAAGTTCGATTCCGGTCAAGGGCATGTACCTTGGTTGCGAGCACATCCCCAGTAGGGGGTGTGCAAGAGACAGCTGATTGATGATTCTCATCGATGTTTCTAACTCTCTATCCCTCTCTCTTCTTCTCTGTAAAAAATCAATAAAATATATTAATTTTTAAAAATGTGATCATCCTGATAGAGGTAGAAAAAGCATTTGACAAAATACAACATCTATAAAAAAAGAAAAAGAAAAAGAATATACATTAACACTTTTGGTGTCACCAAAATAATAGTTTTTTGGAAATGGAACGAAGAGGAGCCCCTCTTCTTAAAGAAATTTCAGACGTGAAATAAAGCTGCACACTGAAGTTGTATGTTATCAGCTACTTATACAAGGTAGCTTTGGAGTTAAACGATTTATGAAATATATACAGTAACTCTGGGACAAATTGAATCTATTCTACTTGCCTTTGCCTTTTTAGTCTTACATCATCCCATTCCTTTTTTTCCCATTTAATCTGATTTGTGTAAACTAAACACCAACGTTAACTTCAATTAGCACATGCCAGAATTAGGTGTAAGGAAAACTCCTGTCTATATATCCTTACCATTAACACGGCAAAGTTTGTAGTGTGGTTACAGCGGCAGTACAGCACCTCATCTTTGTTTCCATCTTTGAAACAGCCATCTGTGTCCCAGTCCTTCTTTGTAAAATTCCAATAGACACAGGCAAAAGACTGTAACTTCTTTTCCGTGTACTGTGAATTGATAAGACAATTGCAACTGATTTTTAAATGCTTAACATGGTAGAAAAAATCAAAAAGGTTAAGATAATCATATGAGAAATCCGATATGTACTAAGCATAACATCTTCATTATAGATTAAGGGGGGAAATATTTTTTAAAAAGTTCAAATTAGCCAATTTTTCATTTAGTTAATCTGACAAAAAAAAAAAGGAAGGTTTAAATGAATACTTTAAAAAAAAGACTCTCAATGAGTTTTCTGCACCTTCCTTTTGCTCACACTATCCCTGCTTCGTAATAAAAGTTGGCTACATTTGCCGAAACCGGTTTGGCTCAGTGGCTAGAGCGTCGGCCTGTGGACTGAGAGGTCCAGGGTTTGATTCTGGTCAAGGGCACAAACCTTGGTTGTGGGCACATCCCCAGTGGGGGTATGCAGGAGGCAGCTGGTCAATGTTTCTCTCTCATCAACGTTTCTCTCTATCTCTCTCAATTCTCAATTCTTCTCTGTGTAAAATTAAAGAGTTGGCTAAATTTTTAATTTGTTCATGGGAACACTCACCTGTTTACGAAAGGCCATTTGGACAGAAGTATTCTGATTGTTCCCAGTGTTATTAGCTGTGCTTGAGACAACTCTTATACTATAATTTGATGTACTTTTAAAAATTTTTGATGGGAAAAGCTTGCTGTTTTGATACACTATAAAGCCATATGACGTAGCATTAACTGTGAAGGAAAAAAAAAGACATGAAAATCAATAAATGAACCAGAGAATAAACAAGAAACAAAGTCCGGTGTCATTGTTGAACTGCACAGCTGTTGAATATTGACTAAAACAGTAAAAATGATTTGCTGGCTGAACCTTCACTTAATTGAAATATGTAATTCTATATAATAAAACCCTAATGTGCAAATTGACCGAGCAGAGGAACGACCAGTCACGATGATGAGCACTGACACCAGGAGACCGATGCTCAATACGGGAGCTGCCCCCTGGTGGTCAGTGTGCTCCCACAGGAGGAGCACCGATCAGCCAGAAGCTGGGCTCACAGCTGGTGGCTGGGGAGTGCAGTGGCGGTGGCAGGAGCCTCTCCCACCTCCGCAGCAGCGCTAAGAATCTTTTGGAGTCCCAGACTGTGAGAAGGTGCAAGCCAGGCTGAGGAACACCACCCCAGGGCACAAATGTTGTGCACCAGGACTCTAGTTAACATGCAAAATCTCGTGGTTGGCCATTCCGCCCACATTAAATTTTTTTCCTGGGGCTCAGATTCCATACCTTTATAATGGGAACAATAAGTTCTGCCTAATCCACCTCAAAGAGGTATTGCAAAGATCTCATTATTAAGTAAACATCTCGCTTTCTATACAGCAAGACAGAGTGAACATGACTGCAGGTAGGTCAAGCCTATTTGCTTCCCACACTGATAAAGACATGGGACAGGAAAAAGCACAGGGTGAATATCAGGACAGCTGTGCCTACAAAAGTGTTCTGTGAAGTCTGCCTCCTGTTCAAAAGGACTGAGCAGGGACCAGTCTATTAAGTCACAGAGCCAGGAGTTCAAATTGTTCTTATCAGGAGCTCTTTCAATGAAGCCAGATTCTTTCCATCATCTCTTTTTTCTTTTTTTAAAATGATCATATAATTTGCAAACATTGATCTTTTTCTTTCTTATTTTTCCCCATCACCATTTATCCCCCCTATACCCTCTTCCACCTCCACCCTCTGCCACACCCCCATAATCACCATACTGCTGTCTGTGTCAATGAGTTCTTTCTCTTATTTTCTTTTTTTCTCAATCCCTTCCCCCATTAACCAGTCCCGCACTTCCCCAACAGCTGTCAGCCCATCTATCTATGAGTCTGTCTCTATTTTGTTTCTAAATTCATTCTGTTCATTACATTCCATATATGAGTGAAATCATATATGGAATTATGGTAATTGTCTTGCTCTGACTGGCTTATTTCACTTAGCTTAATGCTCTCCAGGTACATCCATGCTGTCACCTTAGATAAGAGATTCTTCTTCTTCTTTTCCTCCTACCCCCCTCCTCCTCCCCCCTCTCCCCTCCTCCTCCCCCATTTCCCCTCCTCCTCCCCCCTCTCCCCTCCTCCTCCCCCCTCTCCTCTCCCCCCTTTCCTCTCCCCTCCCTCCCTCCTTCCCCCCTCCTCCCCTTCCCATTCCTTCTCCCCCCCTCCTCTCCCTCCTCCCCTCCTCCTCCTCCTCTTCCTCCTCCTCCTCCTCCTTCTCTTCCTCCTTCTCTTCTTCTTTTTCTTCTTCTTCTTCTTCTTCTTCTTCTTCTTCTTCTTCTTCTTCTTCTTCTTCTTCTTCTTCCTCTTCCTCTTCCTCTTCCTCTTCCTCTTCTTCTTCTTCTTCTTCTTCTTCTTCTTCTTCTTCTTCTTCTTCTAATTCTAATTCTAATTCTAATTCTTCTTCTTTCTTCCACCTGGGCAGTATTCTATTGGGTAAATGTACCACAACTTTTTTATCCACTCATCTACTGATGAACACTTGGGCCACTTCCAAATCTTGGTTATTATAAATAACATTGCAATAAACATAGGGGTGCATATATTCTTTCCAATTAGTGTTTTGTTTTTTTCAGATATATTCCCAGAAGTGGAATTGCTGGGTTATAAGGCAGTTCCATTTTTAATTTTTTGAGGTAATTCCATACTGCTTTTCACAGAGGCTGCACCAAATCTGTATTCCCACTAACAGTGAATGTGGGTCCCCTTTTCTCCACATCCTTGCTAATACTTGTTTGTTGATTTACTGATGATAGCCATTCTCACAGGTGTAAGGTAATAACTCATTGTGGTTTTAATTTGCATTTTTATTAGTGATGTTGAGCATCTTTTCATATGTCTATTGGCCATCAGTATGTCTTCTTTGGAAAAATGTCTATTCAGGTCCTTTGCCCATTTTTTAAATGGATGGCTTTTTTTTTGTTTGTTTTGTTTTAAATCAATCTTTATTGTTCATATTATTACAAAGGTTCCTCATTTCTTCCCCCCTCCACCAGGTTCCCACCCCACCCTCCGCCCCCTCCCCATTCCCTATTGTCCTCATCCATAGGTGCACAGTTTATGTTCAGTCTCTTCTTCCCTCCCTTTCCCCGATAGTAAATCCCTTTCCAGATAGTAAATCAGTTACTTAGCATTTTCTCATATCAATAATACCTCCACATGCCCAATGATACACTTCACACAAAAGACATTTCCCAATAGGTCAACTAGCCTCATCCAGGCCCCATCCAAGGCACTCACAGATCAACACCCCAGCCCTATACTAACTCAGCACATCCAGATCTAAGCCTTCATCACTTGATTCAGCAGACCCTCAAGTTCCCTCGAAAGTTTCCAGCCATGTCTGAGAGGCAGCCGTGGGGCAGGGGCAGGCGAGGAGCGAGCTGTTTCAGGCCTGGCTGCTCAGGGCCTGGCCTCTGTTGCTCTGGTTCATTCCACAACAAGCTGCTCCGGGTCTGGTCACTGCTGCTCCCAACCTAGTTGCTCTGGACTTGGCTGCTGCTGCTCCGGGCCTGGCCGCTCCCAGCCTGGCAGCCACTGCTCCGGGCCTGGCCGCACCAGACCCGGCTGCTCCCCCAGGCCAGGCCGCTCCCAGCCTGGCAGCCACTGCTCCGGGCCTGGCCACACCAGACCCGGCTGCTTCCCCGGGCCTGGCTGCTCTGGATGGCTTGTTTTTCTTGGTATTGAGTTTTATATTATAAATTCTTTATGAATTTTGAATTTTAAGCCTTTATCAGGTGTATTGTCAAATCTTGTTCTCCCATTCAGTGAGTTATCTTTTCAATTTGTTGATGGTTTTCTTTTCTGTACAAAAAATTTTTAGTTTGATGTAGATCCATTTGTTTATTTTGTTTGTTTCCCTTGCCAGATGAGATATATCAGAAAAAAATATTACTACAAGAAATATCCAATTCCCAGCTATGTGACTCAGTGGTTGAGGGTCGACCTATGAACCAGGAGGTCACTGTTTGTTTCCCAATCAGGGCACATGCCCAGGTTGTGGGCTCAATCTCCAGTGTGGATGTGCAGAAGGCAGCCAACCGTTGATGTTTCTATCTCTCTCTCCCTTCCTCTCTGTGAAATCAATAAAAAAAAAATTAAAAAAAGAAATATAAAGAAATGTCCAAGATTTTAATGCCTATGTTTTCTAGGATTTTTTATGTTTTCTAACCTCAAATTTAAGTTTCTAATAATATTTGGAGTTTATTCTTGAGTCTATTGTAAGAAAGTGGTCTAGTTACATTTTTTTGCATGTATCCGTTCAATTTTCTCAGTACCATTTATTGAATCTACTATCTTTAGGTCATTTTATGTTTTGGCCTCCTTTGTCAAATAGTAATCCTATATAATAAAAGGCTGATATGCAAATTGACTGAATAGCAGAATGTCCAGTCACTAGGATGCACACTGACCACCAGGGGGCAGATGCTCAAAGCAGGAGCTGCCCCTTGGTGGTCAATGTGCTTCCACAGGGGAGCGCAGCTCAGTCAGAAGCCCTGAGCCAGGCTCACAGCTACAGTGGCAGCAGCAGGGGCAAGAGCCTCTCCCATCTTCGTGGCAGCACTCAGGACTGGGCCTAAGCCATCAGTCGGACATCTTCTGAGGGCTTCCAGACTGCAAGAGGGTGCAAGCCAGGCTGAGGGACCACCCCTGAGTGCACAAATTGTGTGTACCAGGACTCTGGTTGCTTATAAAGACCTGGGTTTATTTCTGGACTCTCTATTCTGTTTCATTGATTTATATGTCTGTTTTTAGGCCAGTACCATGCTGTGTTTCTTTTGTTTGTTTAGTCTTATATTTTAATTTATTTCATAGAGGGAGAGAGATATAGAAACATCAATGATGATAAAGAATCACTAATTTGCTGCCTCTGCAAGCCCTTTACTGGGGATTAAGCCCACAACCCAGGCACATGCCCTTGACCAGAATCAAATGTAGGACACTTCAGTCCATAGGCTGACTCTATTCACTGAGCCAAACCAGCTAGGGCCCAGTACCATGCTGTTTTGATTACTATGCATTGTGATATAGTTTGATACTAGGTACTATGATTCCTCCAACTTTGTTTTTCTTTCTCAAGATCTCTGTGACTATTCAAGTCTTTTGTGGTTCCATATGAATTTTTGGAATATTTTTTTCTAATTCTGTGAAGTAGGCCATTGGTATTTTGATAAGGATTGTATTGAATCTGGAGATTGCTTTGGATAGTATAGACATTTTAATGATGTTAATTCTTCCTATCCATGAGCATGTTATATGTTTCCACTTACTTGCATCTTCTTCAACTTCTTTCTCCTGTCTTATAATTTTATGAGTATAGGTCTTTGACATCCTGGTTACATTTATTCCTAGAATTTTATTCTCTTTGAAGCAATTATGAATGGAATTGATTTTTTAGTTTCCCTTTCTGGTAGTTCATTATTGGTGTATAAAAGTACAACTAATTTCTGCCCTAGTTGGTTTGGCTCATTGAAGAGAGCATCAGCAGATGGACTGAAGCATCCTGGGTTTGATTCCAGGTTGCAGGTTTGATCCCAAGGAGGGGGAGTGCATGAGGCAGCCAATCAGTGATTCTCTGTCATCATTGATGTTTCTCTCTCTCTCTCTCTCTCTCTCTCTCTCTCTCTCTCTCTCTCTCTCTCTCTCTCTCTCTCTCTCTCTCTCCCTCCCTCCTTCCCTCCCTCCCTCCCTCCCTCTCCCTTTCTCTCTGAAATCAATAAAAACATATTTTAAAAATTAATTAATTAATTAATTAATTTCTGGATATTTATTTTGTATCCTGCTACTTTACTGAATTCATTTATCAGTTCTGGTAGTTTTTTGGTGGAATCTTTAGGGTTCTTTCATCATTTCTTAAACTACTTATTGGTCTCTGCTGTTTCATGAAAATCACAAGCTTTCCCAGAGCTGAAAGACTATTGTGGCACATATCTTCAAGACATTGGAAAAGGTGCTTAGCTGTTCCTTAGAGATCTTAGGAGAACATGGCCACGGCCAAGGGTTTTATAGCAAGGCTTGCCAGGGCAGTGGTCAAACAGGACTACCTAAAGAATATCTCCTAACACTTCATATAGCTATTGGCCATATTTTAAATAATAGAAGCACCAACAATAAGTATACTTTTTAACTGAATTAATTTCCTAAACTGTGCTCTCGTTTACAAAGGATACACAGAAAACTAAAAAAGTGGCAGTTAGACCAATCTATTCAGTCATGAAATTTGAGAAATCAGCAGGCAAGGTCCTGACAGCCCATCAAATGTCCTCCACAGGCTAGAGCAACCCCATTGCTCTAGCCTCAACATAAAAATAAAGACACTGGTCTTTTTAATCCTCACCTGAAGATAAGTTTTAATATTTTTAGAGAGAGATGATGGGGGGAATAGAGATAAAGGAACATTGATATGAGAGAGAAACATCCATTGGTTGCTTCCTCCCATATACCTAAATGGGGACAGGAAATTGAATCTGCAACATTTTAGTAAACAGGAGAGGGTTCCAACCAACTGAATCACTAGGCCAGAGCTCTAGAACTTTTTCATGGCACATTAAAATTGTTCCTTATGGACACTAGAGGAGAAAGTTAACCTTAAAAATGCAATAGGCTTCCTCTTATTTTTATAAAAAGAACAGCATGCTTGATATAAAATACAAATCTATAGAAGAATAATGATTAAAAGATGGCCCTGCCTGGATGCTCAGTTGGTTAGAGCCTCATCCCAATACTCAAAGGTTGGGGGTTGGTCCCTCGTCAGGGCACATATAAGAATCAACCAATGGCCGAAACTGGTTTGGCTCAGTGGATAGAGCGTCGGCTTGTGGACTGAAAGGTCCCAGGTTCGATTCTGGTCAAGGGCATATACATTGGTTGCGGGCACATCCCCAGTAGGGGGTGTGCAAGAGGCAGCCGATCGAGATTCTCTCTCATTGATGTTTCTAACTCTCTATCCCTCTCTCTTCCTCTCTGTAAAAAAATCAATAAAATATATTTTTTAAAAATCAACCAATGAATGCATAAATAAGTGGAACAACAAATCTCTCTCTCTCTCTCTCTCTTTCTCTCTCTCTCTCTCTCTCTCTCTCTCTCTCTCTCTCTCTCTCTCTCTTATCAATCAATCAATCCAATAAATATATATACATACATACATACATATAGAAGGCCCTATCACCCCTCTCTTCTACCAAACACAAACATAAATTCTAGGTGTATTGAGACCTAAATGTAAACACTAAAAAACCCAGAAGAAAATATAGAAAACTATCATTGTGATTTTAGCACAGGAAAGGATTTCTCTTAAAAGATGCCAATTATAGAGGAAAATATTGATACATTGCAAATTAAAATTTGGGTATGACAGAAGACATTAAAAACTAACAAAAGAAAAAAAGGTTATTCTCATACTTAATTCACTTTAACATGTTAACTCTGTTAATAACTGTGAAATTAGTTTTTATAAGTAAACACAATATAAATTTTAAAAAACAAGCAAAAGATAACTGTAGACTGGAAGGAAGATATTTGCAACTTCTATGACCCATAAAGATTTATTAACCAATTAGAACTATATAACCAACTAGAAACAAAAACTTAGTCTTTCCAAAATAATTTCATTCTAGCATTGTGTTTCTTTTACTTTTTTTAAAGGGAGAAATATAAGTATAAATGTGTATGTGTGGTTTGCATAGTATTATTTTAAAAGAATCAGTCAAACTTTTTAAAGTATGAACATTTCAAGTTAGACATAAGAATTTCTGCAGGGTCATGTGCAAGAGAGTAGAGACCCCATGCTTGGCACCATATTAGTGGAAATAACTTAAAATAGTTACTAGTAAATGATGCCTGTGTAGGGGCAAAAAAAATCAATTATATATATATATAATGTGGACTGAAAGGTCCCAGGTTCGATTCTGGTCAAGGGCATATATATATATATATATATATATATATATATATATATATTTAAAAAATAAAAATAAAAATAAATGATGCCTGTGTAAATTATCTAAAATATTCCCAGCACAGGTGTACGGGATGAATCCCAGTATGTGAGTGCCATGGACAGAGCTTGTGACTGAATATTTTTAAAATGTTTTTTTGTTTTTTGTTTTTTTTGTTTTTTTTAATGAGCCACATTTAAAAAGCTAGGTTTTTATTAGAACACAGATTTGTGTCCATGGCCAGGGCATTTCAATTCTGCTATCCTCCAAAATATATTTAATAATTTAATATAAAAGGAAGAAAGGAGAAAAGTAATCATCTCTATGACCTAGAATCATAGAGATTACCATAATCTGGAAGAGATCTAACATACTCAAATGAAAATTATTCAGTCTGAAACTATGTAAACATTATTTTGCACTCGGTGATTTTTAAATTATTAATTCCATGAATTTGCGTGCATTTTTTTTTTAATATAACAGAGTTTGAGACCTACTTTTTGGTGTATTGAGCCAGATCTGAAGTTCAGTCGTTTTATTTGGATGAACACCGTCCTTGTTTAATTCTACACTTGTGGAACCAGAAACAAGAGAATCGCTAGCTCCTATGAGAGGGGAAAAAAGCATATTTCAAAAGTCTAGATTTTCTTGAATAAATCATTATTTATGGTTAGTAGCAGAATGCTCTGGTATTACAAGCACAGAAAACAAATAGCTCACCTTTGTCCACTGTGAAGAGAACACCTGTAGACCCCCCAGTGTCTTCTGGATGTAAAGAGACAGACTGTATTGCTATATTAGGGTTCACCACTGAATTATTGCCCAAAGACCAGGAGTAAGTCTCCATTTGAGTAACAAGCCTGCATAGAATAAAACATAACACTATGATAGTCAAGAGACTCATTGTAAAATCAGAGGTGTGTGTACTATGTTCTCTCCCTGGTTCCAGTAGAAAGGTATGATCACAGAACTCATCAGATTGCAGTATTAACATAATCATCTAAAAATTGATAGATCCTTCCTTACCCCAACTGATGGATGAAGTACGACGTAAACAGCACCTGCGGCCTGGACATTCCTGAGGACCTAATATGGACTGTACATGGAGCCACCAATCAGCACCTGCCAAATACCCTAAGCCCTTGATTCCTAAGTACCTACGTGCCTAACCATGTGCCTTATATGAAACCACCAATCAGTGCATGCCAAGTACTCTAAGCCCCATCCCTTCCAGTTCTTCCCCTCAAAAGGCGTATTCACTCGTGCAGGTGTGCTCTCTTCCTTTGCAAGGCAGCCTGGCAGGGTCCTTCTCCTCTAATGAAACCTGTAGTCCTGGTCTTCAGCCCTATGTCTTATCTTTCAAAAATAACTTATTTCTTTAGCAGAGTCTTCCTTTGTTATATACACCTATTTTTAAAGCTCTGGTAGACTATCTCCACTGAATGGTACCTTCTACATTGATGCCAGAAGGTTGGAACGCTGGAATGACAAATTTCCCAATAGAAATAATCTACTCTTCACACAGAAGGATGGTATTGCCAGCCACCATTGGCCAGGCATGAAATTCTTGTTTCTCCAGTGGTAAGACTCAATTTCCACTTATTCAACTCCCTCCTCTAACCCAAACCCTTTGGGATCCAAAGCATTTCTTATAAGTTGTCCATTCTTGAGGTGACAGTTCATACGGAACTATGGAGCAACAGAACTTTGAACTCATTGACCCATAACCAAATATTGCAGGTTCATAGAAAGTCATGACTTTTTTTTAAAGACTTATATATATATGTCAGGTATGTTAGTGATTTACATACACCATCTCATTTTAGCTTCACAAAAACCCTACTGATGTAGAATCCGAAATTACTCCCATATCACATTGACAAATCTGAGGCTCTTCAAAGAGTATGAAGTAATTCAGCCAAAATCAATGAATAACAACACTAAGATATGAACCCAAGATTGTCTGACTCCAAAGGCTATTGATCCAGAGGAAAACCCCACAAACTCCTCTACTGAGACCTTCAAAGCTGCCTTGAGGCCTTGCCACCCTCCTACTCCATTATAATTTTGTTCTTAGATTCCCAGGAGATTCCACATGCCTGTTTACAATAAAGCTGCAATGTATTCTTTCTCCCCTGACACTCTCTTTGTACTCTCACTCTTTACACTTTTCTCATTAAGTGTAGAAAGGAAGCTCAGTAACTTAAGGGTACAAAGAAGAAACTATAAATGAAGAAAACAAAGTGAGATGGAAGACTAAAGCCTGGTGCCTGTGAGGAAACTCAAGAGATGGAGTTTGGAAAAGAAGAGTTGCACCAAGCAGCAATTAGTTTCCTTTCCTGGGGAGAGAAGAAAGCGAGAGATGGACTCTGATGGCAGCTCATCAAGAATATTCTCCTCAGGAGGGCTAAGGGGTTGGTGTCCTGGCCTTGGGACTAGAGACTGAGATTAAATGAAGGAACTGAGTCCACAGGACTTACATAAAGATCGCATGGGAGAAGGTAAACTGATAGACCATGATTAAAAGACAAACTAGAAATTTAGAGTGGGAGAAAGAAGGAATTGAGTGTGGTTATATTATTTCATATTTCAAAGTGATCTATATTTAAAATTGTCATTTATCCTCTGTAGTCATTTGGATATTACACACAAAATTCTTTTTCTCCATCTCTTAAGCCAGTAAAATTCATAATTATTTATTGTTAAGTTTCTCATCTGCATCATGATCTGTGACTTTCTCAGCCAAGTCCTACATCTCTTTCCTCAGCTTTCTCACCAAAAGCATCCACTACTCCCCATTCCTTCTAGCAAGACTGCAAACACAGAGCCTCTGCTCTGAAAGGACTCAGTCTCCATGTTCCCTCAACAAAGACTCTGGACCCATGGCCACATCCTTCTCCAGCTTCAAGAAAAATGGGAGTGGCTCTTGCTGGTTTTGCTCAGTGGATAGAGCATTGGCCTGTGGACAGAAGGGTCCTGGGTTTGATTCCAGTCAAGGGCATGTAACTCAGTTGCAGGCTAGATCACTGGCCCTAGTTGGGTTGTGTGCAAAGGCAACCAATCATTGTGTCTCTCTCACATCTCTCTCTCTCTCTCTCTCTCTCTCTCTCTCTCTCTCTCTCTCTCTCTCTCTTTCTCTCTCTCTCTCTTTCTCTCTCTCTCTCTTTCTCTCTCTCTCTCTTTCTCTCTCTCTCTCTCTCTCTCTCTCTCTCTCTCTCTCTCTCTCTCTCCCTCTCTGTCTCTCTCTCTCTCTCTCTCTCTCTCTCTCTCTCTCTCTCTCTCTCCCTCTCTGTCTCTCTCTCTCCCTCTCTCCCTCTATCTCCCTCTCTCTCTCTCTCCCTTCCTCTCTCTCTCTCTCTCTCTCTCTCTCTCTCTCTCTCTCTCTCTCTCTCCCTCTCTCCCTCTCTCCCTCTCTCCCTCTCCCACTCTCTCTAAAAGTCAATGGAAAAATATCCTCAGGTAAGGATTATTTTTTTTTTTTAAAGGGAGTAACCACACTCCTAGAAATTTGAAGTCATACAACACACCAGTTAAACTGTTTTCACAACCTCTACCACCCTCTCTCAGAATTATAATCTTTTGAATGTTCTATTTCATGCTTTTGTTCTTTTTCTACTTTAAAGACTCAACACAAGATAGGCACTGGTTATAATAATTAGAAAATTGAGAATTATTTGTAGGAATTTATTCCAACAAATAATGTCTCATGCAAACAAAGATTATGTATAAGAATGTTGATTGTTCAAAATATTAAAACATTTAAAGGAATCTAAATGTTCAGTGGCAGAGAACTTCTTAAATAAAAATTCACTCATTTATGCAATAATCTAAAATTTATGATGTAGATGTATAGGTATTTATATGAAATGTTTATATACTATTAAGTGACAAAGGCAGGTTATAAATCAATAGATTATGTAATGTAATGCATATACAGAGAAAACATTTTACAAGAATATACAGTATATCAACAGGTTAACAAAGGCAGAATTATTTTTAAAAATTTTCTCATCTATATATTTTTTATTTTTCCATAATGAGTATGCATATTTACTGAAATTTTAAAAGAATTAAGAAGACTATATATAAAATAAAAAACAGCCGAGACTGGTTTGGCTCAATGGATAGAGCGTCGGCTTGGGGACTGAAGGGTCCCGGGTTCGATTCCGGTCAGGGGCATGTACCTTGGTTGCGAGCACATCCCCAGTAGGGGGTGTGCAAGAGGCAGCTGATCGATGACTCTCATCAATGTTTCTAACTCTCTCTCTCTCTCTCCCTTCCTCTCTGTACAAAATCAATAAAATATATTTAAAAAATAAATAAATAAAAATAAAATAAAATAAAAAACACACATAGTGAATCCTAATGGGAGGCCTCTATGAATAAAGAACATGAGTTTAAGTTTAAATATACAACCCAAAGAAATCCAGAACATATGAGTTAAGAAGAAAGAAAACAGGTATAGAGTTGGATCCCTTTTGTTGTCCAATGTAACCATGGGAAAGTTTAATTGGAATACACCAGGATCTTGGGGAGGGCTGAGTTGTGGGTGGGAGGCTTCCAATGTGTCTTACAAAGTTATGCTGTTATTTGCAGCTCTGTAAACTGAGAAAAGAGCATGTGGTGCTCCTGCCTGCATGCTGGCTGCCACTTGGACATACCAAGCTGAGGCTAGTGAAACAAGTTCTAATCTAAATCATCCCAGTTACTCTCTATCCATGGCCACACCTGGAACCAGGAGTTAACTCCACTGGTCACTTAAGATAAATAGAAGGTTTTAGTCTGCATCCCGTAGGAATCAGCCAGTGAGTGCATCCATGAGAGAAATAAAGACATTTCTATTAATGCTTTAACCTAGGAAAGTAAACAGCACTTTGTCAGGTTTTTCTTTCCAAATTGGAATTGTGCTTACATTGAAAAGGCCTGTTCATCTTCAGCGACAGCTTTTTGAAAATTACCTTCGTTGGCATCTAGAAGTTGACTCACTGTTGCGACAGCATCTATTTTTGCCTGCCGGGAAGAAGACACCAGTTATCACAGAGGACATCCTCATGACCTTCGTTAGCATAGATTATTATGGTATCAAGTGGAACTGAAGGCTTAGTTTTCTGTCTACAGAAGATGGCAGAGAGAATAAAGATAAGGCACAGTGAAAATAAAAATTAAGGCAGTCAATTAGAAGGCATAGGTCTCTGAATTTGACCTCAGAGCAAGGTCTTCACAGACCCTCCACTGCATCCCCAACAACACAAAAGCCGATGCTCGGATACACATTCAGAAACAAACTAAGAAGGGCTTTAATTATCAGAACATCACAGCTTACAATATTTAATATAACTTACTAGCTACACCTAGTGTAACTATTAGAATCAGTAAAATTATTTCTAGTTTTCTTACAATTAAAAACATCGGAAGCACATTGGAAAGGGTCTCTGGGCATTTGGTTGCTGTTGAGCTGCTCTCTTTGAGATTATTAATATTCTTCTGTCTTTATTGGCTAATCCTTCCACAAATTCTTCCTTTGGAGGTCATTATTTTTTAATTCCAGTTTTACTAACTTGTAATTTTAATCTCCCTTAATTTCCAAAGGGGCTAGGATAACATAAAATCATTTTTTGAAATAAAACATTTATAGAGAAGAGAAGAAGAATATATATTTTCAGGTCATGCTGATATTCAACTGGTAAACACTGGGTTTGTCCATTTTGGTGGCTTACAGCCTGTGTGACCAGTACCCAAGCTGTGCCAGTTGGTAAACGTTGACTATAGTTCTTGTCTTCAGATACCAGAGTTTAGCAGTTCATAGTATCAGAAATGTAAACAAGGCCTACATTTTTTAAAAAGCTAAAACTAAAATGCAAATATGCTTAGCAGGAAGAGATGAGCTTAAAACATCATGTTCCAAAGTGAATTCCTTGTAACACCATTTCACCAGGTAAATAAATTAATTTTTATTTAATTTTATTAAATTATTGGCATTGAATAGGGATATTGAGGCCAAGTGCAGTGGGCAAGCATATTAATAAGGTGAAACGGATTTGCTTGTTATAGGCTTCCCAGATTTAACATGGTGATGATCAGTGTGACTACCTTCAAAGAGAATTATTAATATTTGGACAAAGAGCCTTTTATTTCTTTGAGCATCTCTCAGAGTACTCTGCAAAGTGGTTCTAAGCAACCTGAATCATGCCCAAGTTTATATCCTGGAATAAGGAATATAGTTTGGGATGAGTTTCTTTCTTCCCCTCCCTTTCAAAAACCCTTGTGAGTGTTACCTGAGATGAATCATTTGTGGTTATGTTTAAGATCTGTCCCACCACTTTAGTAGCAGAAGTGATGTTCTGAGGCTTTAAATTTTCGCTATTAGATGTTAAAATCAGGACTTGTCCAGAAATAGCTGAAGCATTTGCTGACGAATCATTTAGCTGTTAAAAAAAAAAAAAAAAAAAAAAAAAGAGCAAACCTAACTTTTTACAACTACATTTAAACATTTCCAGCAACTTCAAATGAATGAACGGGAATGTAGTTGATCCTCCAATCTCTTCAATCCCCACTTTGTTTTTCATGATCTGTTTCTTTTCTTGTATAATGTGTATAACAACTGTAATCTTATATAACAATTCTATGCTGTTGCATATAATAATTTTTAAATGGATTTGTACATTATGTCTTCTTCATTTCATTTTCCAAGTTGTTTTTATTGTATTGTACAAGATTATTGGTCTGCAATAGGTTGGAGATTTTAAAACTAGCTTTTCAGCAGAGTGTGGGCAGCACTGACCTAGACAACCTCAGGTACCAACTGGCCTCCAGGCTCTGCTGTGCGTGTTACTCCTGTCATTAGTGGGGCTGGAGATCATCTCTCTCTCTCTCTCTCTCTCTTTCCCTCCCTCCCTCCCTTTCTCTTTCTGTCTTTCGCTAGATGGCAGCATATCATTTCAAAAGTCAAATGAAGGTCACAGGCTATTCAAGCTTGGGAAAGAATTGGAAGCAATATCCCATAAGTAGACAGTAACAATGCTCTCATTTCATATCCAGGTCCCTGCTACGTGCTAGGCACTGCTAAGTGTTTTTGCAGGTGTCACTACATTTAATCTGCAAAACAGCACTGACTTACTTGAGCATTCTCATCCCTATTTAAAGCCTTGGAGAGGGTAAGGAGCTCACCCACAGTTCACGCAGCTTAGACGTGGCAGAGCTAATAGTCAAACACTGTTTTGTCTGATTCCAGAACATGAAGTCTTTCCCACAATCTGTGTGGCTGACACCACCTATGTGGTTGGCACCACCTCCATATCCTCCTACCACTCCTACTCCCACCTCCACCGCTGCCCATGTATAATTAGGGAGCCGATATGGTTCAGTGCGGACTTTAAAACAAAAAGCAGCACCATCACTTTTGGCTGTGATTTATCAGGCAAAATACTGCACATCTCAGAAACAGAACTTCCTCATCTATAAAATGAGTAAGTTCATACCTGTCTATTGGGGTGTTACAGGGATTAAATACGATAAAACAGCATATGTGATAGAATGTTCAGCACAGCACTTAGCAGGCAGTCAGTGCTCAGGAATGAGTGTTATTAGCTTTAATTATATACAATATTGGAATAACACCTCGCTCTCAGAGGTTCTGTGAAAATTAAGTGACATAATCTGTAGCAGGCCTGCCTCCTAGAAGAGAGAGAAGGTTCCTCTTCCACCCTTGTTTGGCCCCAAGTGTTAGCATTTGCATTTGGGTATCTCCTTAGTCAAAATAATTTAATTTGCATGGAAAAATATATTTACCTAGATGTACTTCCCACTTCACCTGCTCAAGGATACAGCCCTGAGACTCTCATCAGGTTCTGGAGTTTCCTGTCTCAAAAGGCCTCATAGATTTTCCTCTGTGTTCTGGCCCACAATCATACCTTCCTTTTTTAAAAATACATTTTTATTTATTTCAGAGAAAGGAAGAGAGAGATAGAAGCATCAATGATGAGAGAGAATCATTGATTGGCTGCCTCCTGCATGCTCCCTACTGGAGATCAAGCCTTAAACCTGGGCATGTGCCCTGACCTGATTCATGGGTCAATGCTTAACCACTGAGCAACACTGGCCAGGCAAAATACCTTCATTTTTGGTCTTAAATGTCAGGGATCTATTTTGGTCAAAACTTTACTGGCTTAAAAATGATGAGGTCATTTTAAATGTGCTATAGATTTTTGCTGAAATTTGGAGAACCAACATGTTCAGCTAGTCTTTTTTACAAATAGATGTCAACTTAAAAAAAAAAATAAAGGCTTTAGCTCTGTCTGGTGTTGTTCACTGGTTAGACTGTCGGCCAGCACACTGAAGAGTCTTGGATTCAATTTTTTAGTCAAGGGCACATACCTGGGTTGCAGGTTCATTCCCAGCCCTGGAGGGGGTGAGTGGGGGAGGAAACCAAAGGATGTGTCTCTGTGTCTCTCTCACATTAATGTTTCTCCCTCTCCCTCTCTCTCTCTCTCTCTCTCTCTCTCTCTCTCTCTCTCTCTCTCTCTCTCTCTCTCATCTCTCTCTCACTCCCCCCATTCCTTCTCTATCCCTTCTACTCTCTCCAAAATTCAATGGAAAAAATATCTTCAGGTGAGGATTAACAACAACAACAACAAAGGTTTAATTACTAGTTTTTGTTATTTCTAATTTGTAAGTTTTAAAAAGCATTGATTTGACCATCAGGGTTTTTTCCAGTTGCCTATCATATGGGCCATAGGGCATACCTCCTTTTCCAGGGTTTCCAGATTTGTATTGCAATTTGCTATTGTCGCATTTTGTAATTCTATCTCTCCATCTTCAGTAAGGTTGCACAGCCGGGTTGCTCTTGGGCTGCCCGCTTTAACAAAAAGAAAAAGACAGAGAGAGCGTTTGCAAAGATGGCCACAACAACTATATGCTCCTGTGTATGTCCCTTCACAGATATGGCGTAAACCAATAGTGTAACTACTTGTTTACACTGAGACGAATTATATACTTTAAGAAGTAGATGTGAACCTGATCAAACTCTGGGAGACAGAATAAACTGGAAAAATAAACCAATTGAAGACGTAGTAAAAGGAATGGACAGCTGATCCAGAGTAAAGTTTTTAGAAAAGTTAGAATAATGTGAGGTGACACCCTAAACTTTGAACGTTGGCATCATAAAAAGGAGCCAAAGCCTTCCTGATGCCTCTCCCAGGAACTGGACGCTAGCTGGAGGGATGGTAGGCATAACCAGTACAGTGATTTGTATGCCAACGAAGAAGACACTTAGAAAAACACATACCATTGAGAGTGTCCTTGTCACATTTTTCCAAGGAAGGTCCATATCTTCCCACTGAAATATTGTCAAAAGTAAAACCCCCAGAGGTACTGTTTTCACAGAAATTAACTACAATAAAAAGAAAAAAAATTTCATTTTAAATTATTCTTTTCTTTTCAAATTTCAAACCAGATAAAAGTCAAAAGTCAAATCTTAGCCAGTATAACTTAAAGGGAAATAGACAATTTATAGGACTCACTGGCCCACCAAGAACTTCATATTTTCTTTTTGAAAAGAAAAAAATACATTTTTATTTATTTGAGAGAGAAAGGGGGGAAGCAAAGGGACAGATAGAGAGAAACATAGATGAGAGAGAACCATTGAAATGATATGTAGTATGCCTGGCAACCAGAAGAACCACATAAAGTTAAGTTTCCTCTTCCGCTTCCTGCGTGCCTGTAACCTGGGCTTGTGCCCTGACAGGGAATCTGACAAACTCTCGGTTCATAGGTCTATGCTCAACCACTGAGCAACACTGGTTGGACAAGAACTTCATATTTTCTTATTTGGTTATTTCCATTAAGATAACTAGTATGTTAGATAACAGGTTCCAGTTAAAATGTGCACAATATATGACTTGGCAGAGGTGGGATGTGATCCCTAACACATCAGCAAGAATAATGTATCAAATTAGTTGAAATCTTGAAAACCTCGAGTGGCAAAGAGCCTCATGAGGATGTGGTCAAAGCAAAAATAAAGCCGAAGTCTGTGTGTATGTGGAATATGCTGACTGGTAGGAGTGTAACAAATGGTGGGAGTGTGTTCCTGGAACCCTGGATCCCAAGCAGAGTACTGAGATGCACACTGCAGATCAACAAGTGACATTGAACTTCGATCTTGAGAGACCTTTGATTGAAGTCAAACCACTAAATTAATAACATCTCTTTAAGAGAAAGGAAAAAAAGACAAAAACTTCCTCCAAGTATATATGTAGCTAGAAAGATGCATCATGATTTCAGAAAAGTTAAATGTGTAAAAATTGTGATATTTGAAATGATGTGATATGGCTTATCACCAGTTGAAGGACCTGCAAAAACAATTTCACCCATTACTTTGCATCAGACACTGCATCCAGACGGAAAAGCAGTGCTGAGTTTACAGAGAAACTTGATAGTTGGGAAACAGACAAGGTGTATCAAACATACAGGTAAGTAGCCCGAGAAGAAAACTCAACTCTTGCTATCCAGCTAACAAATACATCTTAAAGCCATCATCATTATGCTCTTTGTTACTTTAATCACTAACAGAAGCCTTGAAAAACTTTGCTGCTGTCTTTAGGAACACAGAGTCACTTAAACTTCACACCTTAGTATTATCCCCCCCAAAACTTACTTATAGTACATCTCAGTCCTTTCCAGTTTTCTGTACAAAGACATGTGCCATTTTGCCAGGTTCCACCATTCCTGCAGTCCCCTTTAAAAGGTCTTCCTGAGGAGGAAGGTGTTGCTTAAATAAAAACAAACAAACAAACAAACAAAAAAACAGAATAATATGTAAAGTGGCTGATTGGTTTTGTGACCTTTAATTTCCATCTGTAAAATTATTGCTTTGAATAGCATTGCTGAGATATATTCTTTGTAATATCATTATAGGGTAAAGAATGCTAACTAGACATCACAGATACAAAAAACAAAACAAAACAAACAAACAAAAAAACACCCAAATTTGAAAGACACAACACGGTGACTAAGATGATGAAGATCTACTTAGAAAAACATTATATAGATAACATAGATGATAGATAGCTAAATAAATGATAGATGATAGAGGATAGATAGATAGATAGATAGATAGATAGATAGATAATAGATAGATAGATAGATAGATAGATAGATAGATAGATAGATAGATAGATAGATGATAGATAGATAGATAGATAGATAGATAGATAGATAGATAGATAGATAGAAAGATAGATAGATAAAATTAGGTAGGCAGACCAACCAACTCGACACTCAAATTTGTAGGAATATAAAAGAGAGATGTTGAGGACAGAGGTAACCTATCCAAGGGACACTTTTCAGAAGAGGTGTTATTTGAATTGAATTTTAAGACTAAATCTAGAAAAGCCAAATGCAAATGGATAGCCCAAGAAGGCAGGATGCAAAGTACAAAATACAGAAACATGGGAAGGTCTGATACGTCCAAGAAACAGAGAAAAACATAATATATCAGGAGCGCAGGTTCTATGTGGAGCAAGAGCAGGGTAGAGATTGGGTTGAGTGGCCACATAGACCAAGCCAAGTGGATTTAATCCTGCAGGAGTTTAGAAAGATCCTCAAGCAAGTGAGCAGCATAATGAGGAATGCTTTTTTAGGACGGTACCTCAAGCAATATGGGAAGTGACTGAGGCAAGTAAGGCCTGTTAAATGAGGCCCTAATCTAAAGCAGTAGCTCTATGGAGGTTATGAGACAATAGATTCAGGAAGCATACCTGAGATAGGATTATTACGATTTACTGACTGGTTAGTTTTGGTTGGGGACACTGAGGTCTTTAAATCTGAAGACAAGAATGATGAACAAATTAACTAAACTTAAGAATACAGGAAGGAGGAGTTCCACTTCCAATAGCGATGGAGTAGATTGTACCATATTAACCCTCCCACAGATAACCATTTTAAACTCTGGACAAAAGTAAAACCAACAAATTACGAGAGGACGTGGGAAATGAAAAGCAGACAAAATCTGAACAATATTTCAAGTTTACACAGTCTTCCCACTAAGGGCACTGCCCAGTCATACAGCAGGTGTGGCTGAAAATCCAGCAGAAAGCTAGTCTTAATGGGTTTAGAAATAGATTAAACATAATTATTCAGTTGATTTAAAAAACATGCGAAGGTAATTCAATTAGAAAAGAAAATGTTTTTCAATAAATGGTGCTGATCTGAGTAAACATACCACAATTTGAGAAGACCATAGACCTAAAGGCAAAAGCTAAAACTAGAAACCTTGTTTTACATTCTTACTAACAAAATATAGGAGTATATCTTTGCAACTTTGAGAAAAACAAATTTTTTTTTAAAGAGCACACAAAAAGCACTAAACATAAAAGAAAAAAAATTGATGCATTCAACTTAATCAAAACTAAATACTATTCTCAGAGGGAAGGCGGGAGTGGGATTAGGTGGGGTGAGATTAACCAGGGAATATAAATGCATAGCCCATTAACACAGACAATAGTGTGGTGAAGGCCTGGAAGGGCAGGTGCAGGGTGAAAGAGCTCAATGAGGAGAGGAGGGGGAAGAGATCAACCAAAGGACTTGTGTACATACATATGGGCCTAGCCAGTGGCCATGGACAATGGGGGTTGGGGGGGCATATCTAGGGAGGGGTTTGGGATGGGAATGAGGAAATAAAGACAATTATGTGAGACCATAATCAATAAAAATAAATTAATTAATTAAAAACAATAATAATAGCAATTATGTATCAGGTGATTACAGCTTACAGATAAATAAAATGAATGACAAAAATGTTATAAGGGATAAGAAGGAAGATTAGAGAATACTCTAAGGTATTGATACTCCATATGAGGCTAAACTCTAGGACATCCATGAAAATGTTTTTTAAGTATAAATGATATGTTAAGAGTGAAGAGAAAATGAAATCACTTAAAATGGTCAATTAAAGCCAGAGAAGGCAGAATAGACAATGGCAGTGGAAGAAACAAAGAAAAGAAAAACAGTTACAAATATAGTACATGTTAATCCAATATATCAATAATCACTTTAAAACAACGTGGCCTGAATGTACTAATTATAAGGCAAATACTATAAGAATGAATAAAAGCCCTGACTGGATGGCTCCATTGGTTGGAGCATTGTCAAGTACACCAAAAAGTTGCAGGTTTGACTCCAGGTCAGAGAAGGCAACTAATTGATCTCTCTCTCTCTCTCTCCCTATTTCTCTCTCTCTTTCAAAATAAAAAATAAAATAAAATTTCCTCAGGTGAGGATTTAAAAAATGTTTTAATTTTAAAAAAGAATGAATAAAAAATAAAACCTAACTACAAAATTTAAAAAATATTTTAAATAAAAGACACAAATAGATTAAAAGTAAGGTGATAGGAAAGTTGGAGAAGCTACATTGATTTCAGACAAAGTAGACTTCAGAGCAAGAAACATTATCAGGGATAATAAAGAGTGACATGTATAATAATAAAGTGGTTAATTCTTCAAGAAGAACTACCAATCTGAATATGTATGTACCTTTTGATAGTCAAAATAAGTGAGGCAAAATTGAAAACTACAAGAAAAATAGACAAATCTGCTACTACAGTTGGTCATTTAAACACCCCTCAATTAGTAATTGACTGGTCCAGCAATAAGAAAATCAGTAGATACAGTTGAACTGAATAGCACCATCAATCAGCTAGATCTAACTGACATTTATAGTATACAAGAGGCCCTATCCACAAAATTTGTACAAGAGTAGGCCTTCCTTCTCCAGGCTGTGGCACCAGCTTCCCTCTGGCTGCTAGCAGGCACTCGGGACCCGGGCCTCCAGGCTTCCCTCGCAGCCCTAGCTTCATCTGGAAGATTGTCCAGAAGGATGTCCAGTCTAATTAGCATATTATGCTTTTATTATTACAGATTTCATCTAATGATGTCAGAATATATAGTCTTCTTAAGCTCGCCAAAACAGACTACGTTCTGCGCCATAAAATACACCTTAACAAATATTTTTAAAACTCTTTAAATTCAAATAAATAAATAGTTTTTAAAGGATAGAAATCATTCAAAGTGTCTCTTTAACCAAAATGGAATTATACTAAAAATCAATAACAGAAAAACAGCTGGAAAATTCCACAAACATTTGGAAATTAAACAACATACTTGTAAATGGTTTATGGGTTAGAAAATTCTCAAGAAAAATTTTAAAATATTTTGAACTAAATTAAAAGAAAGTAAGATGCAGCAAGAGCAATGCTTACAGGTAAGTTTATAGCATTGAATGTGTGTATTAGGAAAGAAGAAAGATATTAGATTAATTATCTAAGTTTTCTCCTTAGGAAATTAGAGATAAGATAAAATTTAGTCTAAAGGGGGGCGGAGGGGGGGGAAGAAAGCAAATAATAAAATATTAGGGCAGAAATCAGGGAAGTTGAAAATTAACAGAAAATCAATGAAACCAAAGGTGAGTTATTTGAAAAGATCATTAAAGCAGACAAATCTCTAGCCAGTATAACTACGAAAAAAAGAGAGAAGTCACAAGTTACTAAAATTAAGTATGAAAAAAGGATAATCACTACTAATCCCATGAACATTAAAAGAATAAAAAAGGATTATGAATAACTATGTTCACACACAGTATTTGATAACTTAGATGAAATGGACCACTTCTTCTAAGCATACAATCTACCAAATTCACACAATAAATAATAATATTATTTATTATTATTTATTGTGTATATTATTTATTATTATGTAGAGAAATAAATAATAAGCACAGGTCTATATTCATAAGGAATCTGAATCTTTGGGATTGTCTACATCTCTGAACAAAGACTGTTTTATTTTATTCCTCCCAGTCTGAATACCTTTTATTTCTTTATCTTGTTTTATTGAATTAGCTGGGATTTCCAGTATAATGTTGTTTCTTTACTGAGACCACCCTCTCCCCTCCCACACAGAGTTGAGAGACAACATATCTAAGTCTCCATCAACCTGGATCACACTTTTTGCTTCACTCTGGTGACTCCCTGAGACCCCACCTGCCCAACTTGTGGGCCCATGAAAGCCATTTCTAATGGCTTTTTTATACCACTAGCCTCTCTTGCCTCCTGTTTCAGATTTTCCTAAAGCAGTATTTAGCCTTTGCATACCTCCTACCTCTTGCTAAGTAGCCCCAGACTACAGCCCTATCACCTCCATGAATGATACACTCAAGGGACAAACTTGGAGAACATCAAAGCCTCACTGAGGTAAGTCCTCCTCCATAGAGTCAATTCCTACACAGCAGGTCCTCTGCTGTAGTCACATCTGGTGATCGCAGGCAATTGCCCTGATGGTAAATCCCTTCCAGTGATGACAACAGTGATCAAGGCTCAATTACTACAGCACAGTGCACACAGCCCACCCAGGGGCATATTTGAAGCACCCAGCTCAGGATACTGGGGAGGCTGAGCCAGACACCTACTACACAGGGCCACTTTACCAAATCCAGGAGACATAGCAGCTCTACCTAATACATATAAACACAGGGAAGCAGCCAAAATATGGAGACAAAGAAAAAATGAAAAAATAGGAGAAATCTCCAGAAAGAGAACTAAATGTAATGGATGCAAGCAAACTATCAGATACAGAGTTCAAAATAATGGTTATTAGGATGCTCAAGGAACTTAGAACTTCAACAGCATGAAAAAGGACATAGAAAGCATAAAAAAGAACTAGTCAGAAATGAAGGATATGCTAACTGAAATAAAGAATAATTTACAGGGAATCAAT